AATAAATCTATATTACAGAAATTATTATGATTTTTTTGAGCCCTGACCAAAGGGGAATTAAGACCAAGATTGGTTCTACGGAACGTTATTCTAAACAGATGATAGGTTCTAAACGTTCTATCAGGAGTGTTAAAGTTCAAGTTTGCCAAAAGATCCGGACAGTCAGTGAGGCCATTCAACAATTTATGGACACAGCAAATGTCAGAAATCGTTCTTCTATCTTTTAACGAAATCATATTGAACTGTTTCATCATTTGCGTATAATGATGATCTGTAACAGGTTGATGAGTTTTATGTGCTAACATCTTCAAAAATTTGTGTTGAATTCTTTCTATCCTGACTATATGTACATTGTAAGACGGATTCCATATTACTGATGCAAACATCAGTTTGTTGTGTATATAAGCGTAGTACAATGAAAGAAGCGTTTTTGGGTTTGTAAATTCTCTGCATGTCCTATTTATGAACCCTAGTGTTCTATTTGCATCATTTACGATGTGCTCTACGTGGGTGATGAATGAGAGTTTCTCATCAATGTATACCCCTAGGTCTTTTACTACATGAAGCTTTTCCAGTTCTTCTGCCGTCCTATCTTATATCTGAAATCTATAGTGTTCGCTATGTGTCTAGTAAGCCTCATGTAATGACATTTTTGTTAAATTCAGGAAGATACTGGTTTTCCAGTGCAATACTTTTGCAGAGATTCAAATCGCTTTGAAGTTTTACAACCGTCATTTACATTTCTAACAATAGTAAACTATCTTTAGATCATCAGCATATAACAAATATTTACTGAAATGAAAAACAGAAGTAAGGTTGTTCATGTATATGTTAAATAACAATGGTCCTAAGTGACTACCTTGTGGTACGCCTGAAGTTACTAAGAATGTCTCCGAACGATAACCATTGCTAGCCACTGCCACAATGGACCATCTACACCCACCTCAGCAAGTCTCTCCATCAAGATAGAATGATCAATCTTGTCGAAAGCCTTACTGAAGTCGGTATAAATAACATCCACCTGCAGTTTCTCATCTATTGCGTGAGAGGCATATTCTATTAAACTCATCAAATTCGTCTCTACAGATCTTTTAGGGAAAAATCCATGCTGGTGTTCCGTAATGATATTTTTTGTAATGTTTAAGATAGCATCATAAATCAGCTTTTCAAAAATTTTTGAGAAAATACAAAGTTTAGTGATAGGTCGATAATTTTCCACAAGATGTCTATCTCCTCCTTTATGAATAGGCAATATTTCACCTTCTTTCCATCTCGTTGGAAAGACTCTTTGAGTTAATGATAGTTTGAAAATTAGGTGAAGTGGTAAACATAAGCTAGCGGAACAGTTTTTTATAAATACAGAAGGTATGCCGTCAGGGCCTACTGATTTTTTAATTTCTAAGGACACTATTTGTTGATATATTTCTTCAATGGATATTAAGGTAACATCAATAGGACTAGCATCCTTGTTTAAATAAAACTGTTTAGATTTAACATATACACTTGCAAAGAAATCAGCAAAGGCATTACACACCCCACTTCCGGTTTTAACTTCATAGTTTGAATGATTTATAGAACTAGGTATAGAGACATGACATTTTTTCTTACTTGAAACGTATCTCCAAAAGTATCGGCTGTCGTTCAATATATTGTTTTCCATCATTGTTATGTATTCATCCAGGTTTTCCTTAATTAAGATTTTTGATTTGGCTCTAAGGTCACAGAATATCTGATATGAGTATGGATCATTAAAACGTTTGTATAGTCTATGATACTTATTTTTTCTCTTAACTGTTTGTATTGTTTCAAGTTTAAAGTATATTGGGTATTTTCCTCGAATTTTATATGTTGGTGTAAATTTGTGAGTAGTTTCATTGAGTATGTTATAGAATATGGCTACAGCTTCATCTACAGATTTGGTACTAAATAATTTTTCCCATTCTATGTCTAAAAGAGTATTATGTATGGAAGTATAGTCAGCTTTATTAAAGTTGTAAAGGCATCGGCTCTGGTGCATTAATGGCTTAAGTAAAACATGCTTAAAACAAAATGTAATTGCAGGATGGTGATTATCCTCAGGAACCAATATGTCAACCGAATTCGAAATATTATATATTGAACATTCGTTACTAAGTATCAAGTCTAATAAACGGTTATTTGAGTTGTAAATTTTATTAAATTGCATTAACTGTAGATACGACAATATGTCAAGTAAGGCACTCGTTTTCTCTTCAACATTAAGTGCCTCCATAAAATGTTCATTAAGTACTGGTTGCCAATTGACACTTGGAAGATTAAAGTCACCAACCAACAACACCGTATTTTGTCGAAAAAAACCTTCATTCTGGTATAATTTGCTTACAACTGAGGCATATGAAATGCTATTCTTAGGTGGTAAATATATACAGCTTATAAATAATTTGGTACCGTTCATATGTTCAATTGATACCCAAAGATCTTCAGCATCAGATTCGAGTTCACAACAGCGTTTTGAGTTGAAGACATTTTTTACCGCGATTAACACACCACCACCATCACTTTTTTGTGAACATGAACTCTCACGATCTCTTCTAAATACTGTGTAATCCGCTCCAAATAATTCGCTGCTGCATACACCATCTGTGAGCCACGTCTCTGTCAGGCCTATTATGTCATAATCACTTGCACGAACATTATTAAAGAACTCCGTTGTTTTAGATCGTAGTCCTCTTGTATTTTGGTAGTAGATGATTAGGTCCTGACATTTGTTATCCATCTTAACGTAGGTAGGTATTTTCTACTTACTTTGCTTGTTGACGGCTTATTTGATATTTTTTAAACCCTCAGTGTCTTTCACAATAATGACACCTGAGGTATCTTCCTTTCTTGCAAAGATCTCGCCATTTTTCGTCCAGACATATTTGTATTGTTTCAGTTTAGCTAACCTTCTTGCTTCTTTATAGATCAACTTATTTTGCATTGTGAGGTGCTCATTGACATAGAATTCATCAGACACTCCCTGAATACACATTTTTGGCGATCCATTACTCCTTTGCATTCGTTTTGCTTTTGCAGCAGCCAAGATATTATCTCTTTCCGCACGGGAGACAAAACGAGCAATTATGTTCTTGATTTTTGATTTATAGTTTTTATTTATTTGAACTCGATGGATATATTCTATTTTGTCGGCATCGATTTTATAGCCAATGTAATCTCCTATTTTTTTTATCACTTCTGTAAGATTTTCATTTTGTTTTTCTGGTATCCCTTGAATTTCTAAGTTTTTTTGTCTAGAAACCTGTTCAAGACTATTGATTTTTGTTTGAAGGTTTGACACCTCAGCTTTCAAGGTAGCATTTTCACTAATTAATTTTTCTGTTTTCTTTATATATTCATCGATTTTTGACAGTTTGAGTTCAAAATCGGTTACTTTTTCACTGCAAATGTAACTGAATTAATTAATGCCATTTGTTGTTCCCGCATTTGCCTAATTTCCATTTTAATCTCCTGCATCGACGTAATAAGCGTATCACTTGTTCCGATGCCACCAGTGCTGCCTGAGCTTAAAGCAAATGATGAGATAGGTATGCACGGGCACCCGAGGGAATTTTCATAAGGGGGGGAGCGATCATCGGCGACACATAAATTTTTGTTTGCCTGCCCCGACAACTTCTTGATGAGTCTCTCATAGAGGCCAAATCCTGAAAATCCCCAAAATTGTACACAAAATCATGCTGAATATGCAAATTTTAAGGTCCACCTCAATTTTCAGAGGGGCGCCTATGCGGATATACCATGTGTATGTAACAAACAGAAAACTATAAAAATAAAAACGATTTTAATTTTCCTTATCAATTTACAATAAAAAATTCTATTTCGATTCCAGAATGTGGGGACGTTAATATTGTAATATTGACGTGACGGGTTAGAAACCCTAGCAGAGCAACGCGAATTGAAAAGAGCGTATGCATTTATTAGGACGTTATAGTGGAAGGCTACGTCCATCTTTTCAACGAAACCACATTTAGGAATCAGTCAACTGGACGGTCGATCGGTTCGACTTTCATGTTTTTTTATCTGCAGACGAAGTAGCATTCTCGCAGTTACATAAGTGAGGAAGCCGGAACTCCATATAGTGGGGTTCTAATGTTGTTGCAACAACTATGTCCTCCACATTATGTCATAAGTCTCATTTCGGACCCGTGATTAGTGCGCTTGCTGTCAAACGGTAAAAATTGTGTTTTCCATTCAGAAAATAACAATTTTTTTCCTCAAAAGTAGGCCATATTTCATAAATCAGATCGCTTTTTTGACCTTTGACTCTAAGTTAATGTTAATTATTTTATACGCAGATAACAATAACTGTTGTTGTTGGTGATTCAGAGGATGAAGTTAAGTCTAAAACAAAACTTATAATACGTGACATACAAGATTGGTGTAACAAAAACATGCTTAAGTTAAGCACTCAGAAACCATACGTTATCCATTTTAACGCATTGCATACGTTCATTGTATGTCTAGAAGACTTTGATGCCCTGCAATCGCAGATCGATGTTTTACATGACTGGTGTCTTAGAAATGATCTGTATTTAAATATCTCCAAATGCAGAATAGTAACCTTTAGCCGACGTTGCACCATACTATATCCTTATACAATTAATGGTACAGACCTTTCGAGAACTGACTCAATCAGAGATCTAGGCGTTTGCTATGACAGTCAGTTAACATTCAACTCACATATTAATCAAATTATTATGAATGCGTTTCGATCATATGGCGTTATCATAAGAAACTGTAAGCTTTTTACTGATCTGTCGGCACTAACTTTATTGTATTCCAGTCTAGTCAGGTCGAAATTAGAATACTGTTCACTAATATGGAACCCAATTTACAACATTCATAAAACATGTATCGAAAAGGTTCAAAAAACACTTCTAAAGTACTTGTCTTTCAAGCTTGATTGGGTACATCCACAAAGAGGTAGTGATTATGTGAAGCTTGTGAACAGATTCAACTTTCAAACTTTAGAGAGCCGTAGAGGTCAGGCATCTGTTTTGTTTTTGCATAAACTACTAAAGGCAAAATTGACTCTGTTGACCTGTTATCACAGCTAAATATGTTTGTACCTAGACTTAATGACAGAGATCATTAGACGTTTTTATTTAAAAGAGCTCAAACAAATATATTAATGAAAGCACCTATTAATCAAATGTGTGCAAGCGCGAACAAACTGTCTAACGTCTGTGACATTTTCTGATGTAGTTTTTCAGAAATAAGAACCCATTGTCGTGTCAGTTGGTAGTTTCGCTAAATTTAGTACATTAATTGTTTTTTATTACCTATTGCTCTGTAAATGTTGGGCAATATATGCTTTATTATTATTATTAACACAGAAACTAATAAACGCTCTCCTTCAAGATGCGATGTGTATTCTTCTATTGCATATAACTTCGTGGTGTGGGGGCAGCCAGCAGATATCAAGAGTATTTATACGTCAAGAAAGACTACTGAGGCTCATATGAAATCTTAACTATAATGTTCCTGTCGGGATGTGTTTGGAAACAATAACATCTTCACTACAACATCAATATATCTGTACAAACTATTATCCCGTATACATCGCAATAGAGAAAAATACTTCATCAATGGGTTTACCATACCTATGAAACGCGAAACAGAAATGAAATATGCTTAGAGAAGTTCAATCACACCTACTTTATGTAGTCGCCTGATAATGCTAGATGTCGCCTCTTCAACCATCTTCCAGCAAATATTCGCCATATAAAAAAGTACGGAAATCTTTGACGTCAGTTGGGAACACTGCTAATTGAGTGCACTCTTTATACACTCTATGAATTTATTGATTTTATCAAATCCCTCTTGGCATGTAACTTCTGTGCTTTGGATTTTGTATATACTTACGTGTTGTTTGCCAATTTTACCGTAAATCTGTTTTCTTTTTTCATAAATATTATATTGTAATTTCTATGCTCCTGCCTTGACCTAGCTGTTACTTATAGCCTACAGGTTTAATAAAAATGTCTAATGTCTGATGATTTGGGACCGAATAGCTGACGATGTCTTTGGAATAAATGATACGCATCTCTACTTCTCCTGTGTTTCAGTAAAGAACTTTGTACAATAAACTTTACAACCCAAACATACGATAAAACAGATAATACTTTTTCAGGGTCGATTAGAGTCAGAGTTTCCTTGAAATTCACATTTATCGCTTAGTTTGCAGCCAAGTTTCTCTTTCTCAACATGGTTTCTGTAAGGGTATATCTAATGTCACCAATTTAGATACTTTCACGCAGTTTGTCAATGATATTTTTAATGATCATGGACAGGTGGATGTGGTTTATACAGGTTTTATCTAAAGCTTTTGACAAGATAGGTCATTGAGCAAAGTATCTGATTTTTGCTTTGACAATTTAATGGTTAATTTCTTCCAACCATATCTTGAAAATAGGTCTCAATATCTTTTTTATAATGGTGCCGTCTCTCAAGAATATATAGCACCTTCTGGTGTACCGCATGGTTCCAACTTAGGTCCCCTTCTATTTTTACTGTATATAAATGATGTCTTGCAATTTGTCTTGTTTGAATTTATTATAAGCAGATCATTTGAAAATCTTCGAAGCAATTACTGACATCTCAGATTACCGTTTTCTACAGATGAACGTTGATTCTATCCATGAATGGCGTCTAGCTAAACAAGCTGTGCTTGAATGTATCTATGTGCAAAATTCTAACATTTCCAAAAAAAAAGCAGATAGTTGAACATGAATACACAACTTAAAAATATCAGCTGCATTCAAATTCTTTGGATTTATAGTTAGAAACTGTAAAGCCTTTGGTGATATAAATGTTTTGGAAACATTGTAATGTGCACATGTTCGCTCTAGGTTAAAATATGCATCCTATATAACTTATAGGACCTTCTTAGAACAGTTCAAAGCTGTTTTCTTAAATATCTATGTTGGTTCATATCCAATATCGGGCATTTATGAGGTTCATCTGTATTATAGGATCGGTTTGTCACTTGAGTCGCGTTCAATCTTGGTTAATATTTTTACATAAACTGTTGCATAACAAGATAGATATAGTATGCACCTATTATCACAGTCCAATTTCAATGCACGTACCCATATTTCAAGTTAGTTCGATTAAATTCTCCATTGTCTTACATGCAATTTAATTTTACTATTATTAGTGGCCTGTGTGATGTCAATGTTGACTGCCTGATATTTTTGTTGGATAAATCAGCTGAATGATGTGGTCAGATGAATTACGTTATGTAATTTCTTTGTTATACTTTTGTTTCCTTTAGATATGTAGAAACATTTTTTTGTGGGATCATAGTCCTGTAAATGGAATTAATTTTTGTTGGGCAAGAAAGCGTTATTATTATTAATAGCTACCTTTTTCACCGAGATCTCTTGGATCACGACAGGAAGAGTCGCCGCCGTGTCTTTTATTCCTACTCAAAGGAAACATATCTCCGCTAGTCAGAGTTTGTATCGAACTCCCGAAAACCGCGTGGCTGTCTCCAAGCGCCACACCGCGTCTCCATTCGCCGGCCGAGCGTCGCGTCACGCGTCAGTCTCACACTACCGACGCCTCTCGTCGCACGCGTCCCGTCAGTCACTCAATCGCGTCTCTCTTGTCATGTCATCTGTAGGACCTTTGATCCTGCTTAAAGTCTTGTAGGCCTGTCAGGTCTGGTTGCCCGGATACCGGACGGAGTCAGGACCTGTCATGTCATGTCACCCGTCAAAATGACAGATCGGTGCGCGGGGGTGTCCGCCGGTGGCCTCGTTCCGGTTTGAAAACTGTTATGACGCTGCTTTGAACTTTTAAGTGCTGTCTCTTTGCTGCAGTGCGGTGTCGTGGTGCGTGACATCAGATGATTTACTCAGTGCCTTCTTTCATGAACTTGTTGTGCGGCTGTGATATCTGACCAAAAAGGTAGGGTATGCTGGAGCTGGGAGAGTAGGTTCTTCAGGGAGATTATTGCAATGTTTTTTTTAGATGGATTGGTTGTAGAAAGTATCGCTTTAAAAGTTGTATTATAGTGGCAATTACACAGCCCCACAAAGGATAGGTCAAGATCCGTGAGACAGACAATGATATACCTATATATTGTTTGACGCTAAATCCGAATCCGGGCCCAAAAACTTTCCCTAGAATGTATGAAAATTGAGATTCGGATGCCAGATGCTAGAGCATGGTCTTCTCATGTATTTTTCGACGTTGAATCCAAATTGGTGGTCGAAAAAATCGTTATACCCCTAGAATTCACCCTAGGGTTCAAAAACTACCAGTAAGAGCGGTGAAAATTGAGTTTTGGATCCCAGATGCTGGAGCATGGTATTCCCATACATTTTTTGACGCTAAATCCAATTTTGTACTCCTGGAATTTGGCGTACGAACAACCAGGGCTACCCGTGTTTTTAACTGCAGAGAACAAGATCCTCTCTACGCTATACAGTTTCCCAAAAAAACTGTCAGCCCATTCAGAATTGCTGGAAGTGGCCGTGGCTGAACTTGCACAAGATTGAATCGTGTTCCCTTTTAAGAAAAAGAAGAACGGAGCACCAAACAGGTAAGGTTTATGGGAAAATGACCTCTCGTCCTGGGTCTGTCTATACTTATCAAATTCAACATACAATACACACCGTATGTATGTTTCCGTAAAAAGTCTGACGTGTACTGAAATAAATTTGTAACTTTTAAAAATTTTCTATTTCGAGACATATTTCTTGTATGTATGTCCCAACCCTAGTCTTGCCAGGATTGGGCTCTATGGTTCAGCAGAAAACAATGCCGAAATAAGCGTTCAACAATACACAAATTCAGCATCCATCATTGGAACCTCAATTTCCACCCGTCATTACGGCTAGGCTTGACGCCGGGGATGAAGTCGAGGGAAGTGGACTTTTTTACCTAAAATTCCGATTCAGCGTTGCAGAATACATAGGAATACCATCTGGCATCCGCAAAGCAATTTTCCACCCCCTTTAGTGGTAGTTTTTGGTCCCGGAGACGAAATCCAAGGATATAAAAATTACGTTGACCCCAAGTTCGGTTTCTGCGTCGAAAAATACATGAGAATACCATGCTGCAATACCTGTCATCCAAAACTTTAAACCAACCAATCCTAAGAGGAGTTTTGGGCCCGGATGTGAATTCTAGACGTCTGGTAATTGTTATGATCCCGGATGCGTCGAAAGATACGTAGAAATATCATCGTCTGTCTCGGATATCGACCTTTTTTATGGGGCTGTGTTATCGATGATTATTTCCACTGAAGCGAATTCTTGAAGATTTTGCACGGAAATTGGCACATGAGCGGCAAGCTCCACATGTTACAAAAATATTCTAAAATAATTTACGTCCAAGAGACTAAGCAAAAATACGAAGCTGCGTGGCCAAAGTGAAATTTTACCAAAGCTTTTTCAAATCCCACTTCCTAGGCATGAGAAAACAGAAAAAAAGCTTCGTCAAAGCTTTTGTACAAAACTTTTGATGTCTGCCTCAGAAGATAGATGACCAAATAAGTGCTTCGTAATTGGAGGAGCAAAAAAGCTTTTCGGGGTCCAAAACAGTGGTCCTACTTCGAGAATTGGCAGAGCTATGAGCAACAAGTATGCTTTGTTCATTTTTCAGCATTTTTTAAGCTTCTGGTAACGTAAGGGGCTGAAAGATTGTCTTTTGTAGGGTTTTATTACATAATATATCGATATAATGATACTCAAATATGGAAAATTTGAAAATAGACGTAACTATGTAAATGTGCGGGAAGTACCGAGTCAATCTACTTGACTGTATTTTTTCTCGTCCAGTACCTGTTAATTCTCCTTTTACACCAGTGCGCTTGTAGGCATTATGTCGCGTGACAGTAAGCGCTTGCGAAAAACTCTACGTGAAATACCCATTCGTGATAGAATCCCCTTCAACAATACTGTGCACAATTTCGCTATCGACACGCCACTAGAAGCATGCTTAACAAAACAGAGAATACAGACTAGAATTATACGAAAATGATGCATACGAATATTGGCTAATGGATAATTTATTTTTATCACTTTACCAAACACTGTGTATACGAAACTAGGACACAGAAAATAATATTTTGGAAGTTCTTTTATTGGTCAACCCACCCCGTCGCCAGTGGGCTGAAGTTTCTTGCAAATTCCTCTTCTAATCTAGCAATAAGAGGGATTTTTAGTGGTACTTTCTGCAAGTTTGATGTCATCAGCAAATGCATCGCACTGATTTTCCTGAAAAACAACCAGTTTCAGCATACTCAATTACACATTGTAAAATATTGCCCAAACTCGAACAGTTACATTGAATGTAGCTACAGACAATATAAAATGATGCATTGTTAAACAAATAATGTGTTTCACAATCTATCATCAAAGCTTGTAAACGTAATACATGCATTCACTAGGTAAATACGTGTAATTCTTATAGATAGATTACACAGGCCAACAAGATTTTTACCCAGAAAGCAGAGTATACTCACCCTAAAACTTACAAATAAGTCGCTCAGTATCTGCGCATGTCGTGGTAGAATCGACCATTTCATGAAATGATCGAGCATGTCATGAAATGGTACCGATTAGTCAGAGAAAGAATGGAACATCTATTGAAAATGTATCGATGAAATAAGTTAATGACACTAGCTTTTGAGCTTTTGTCAACATTTGATTATCACCTGTTTGAAACATCAAAATTAATTGTAATTTTCAATTAACAAAATTGACTGTTGGAATTTGAAACTTGAGTAGATGGAAATTCTGCCGAGAAAGACAGGCATGGCCCTGCCATTGAGTTGTTCGCAACGAGTGAAGGACGATCTGATAGACCCTTTGACCTCGAAAGTGGCCACAAACCTGCTGGCACCTGTCAAAACGGAACGCCAGATCCTGGAGAACTCGATGTTGGAAGATGACCCCAATGGCAACTGCACGGTTAGTACAAGATGACGTTTTTCTCATTATTCGTTTCTACAGTGTGTCCAAGAATAAGTGAAAAAAGTTGATACAGGGCGTCCCAGAAGAGGATGATCTTTTAGTTTCCATTACTACATATTCCAATTTTTTCTCAGACGGAGTGACGGACAGTGTCATTCTACGTAGTGACAGCAAGACAGATAGTAACGCCACTTTTATTAATTCTCTATTCATCATTGTCTGTCAGAGCGGTCCGTAGGACCTTTGCTCTTGGTTGAAGTCTTGTAAGTCAGTAGGACTGTCAGGTTTGGTTGCCCAGATACCAAACAAAGTCAGGGAGAAAGAAGGGAAGAAGAAAGGAAGGAAGGAGGGAGAGCAAAGAAAAAAGAAGTGCGTCAATTTGTGGGATGCCTTGGCGTTGCTAATTAGTATTCGGCAATTTTAAATTGATCCTAAAATTAATTTTGGGAATGGTTGTTGAAGAAAAATTATAATTTTGGTTGGACCTAAAGTCGCACGATTTAATTTTGTTCGCAGTGCGAGTCGCGGCCTTGTGTGCTTGCGAACTTGCTAGACTGTGTAGTCTACTGACTCGCGCAACAAAGGGTTGTTATGAGATTCCGCTGGACTATAACGTAGCTGCGCTTGTTGTTTGATGTAGTCCCTTAGGTAAGGGATGTCAAGGTCTCTGTGAAGGGTCTCGTTGGGGCGTTAGTGATTGTACGCAAGGTTCTGTTCTGCAAAACCTGCAGGCTACGCAAATGTATTTTGGCGAGAAAACACCAAGCCGCACTTGCGTAAGTGATCGCTGGTCTAATAACCATCTTGTATAGCCGAACTTTGTTGATCAAACTTAATTTTGATGTTCTACATAGCCATAGGGTAGAGTTGCCGAAATGAGATTTGGAATTTAGTTTTTAGCACTTCAGTGTGCTTCTGCCAAGTCATCCCCTTGTCAAGAGTGACACCGAGATACTTAACAGAGCTTTTCAATGTTACCCGAGCTCCGTTCACTGACACCTCAGACGAGGCGCCGCTACGTTTTTTAGTACAATAGATTGCCTGCATTTTCGAATGATTAATTTTGATCAGCCACCGATTCGCCCATTCCAATACCTCGTCCACTGCACTTTGCAGCCTGTCGTGAAATAGACCCCCAGAACACGACTAGGCCACCAGGGCAGTGTCATCAGCGTAGAGATAGATTTCACAGTTGCTGGGGCAAGGGACGTCATGAATAAACAGTGAATAAAGGACTGGTCCAAGAACCAGAACCTGAGGGACACCGGGTTTGATGGGCCGTATTGTCGACAGAACGTTATTATTTTTGATTCGAAATTTCCTACCCTTGAGGAAGGATTTCAAAAGTTTTAGGAGACAGAAGGGGAAGCCCTTATGGATCAATTTGTAGAGAAGGCCCTTGTGCCACACCTTGTCAAATGCCTTCGAGACATCCAGAAGCAAGATGCTAGTACTTTCGTTAAGGGTGAAGCCCCTGGTTACTCGCTCCACAAGCCTAACCGCCTGTAGCTCCGTACTATGCTCAGACCGAAAGCCAAATTGTACGTCAGAAATCACATTGTGGTCTGACGAGAAATTTTCAAGGTGACGTAGAATCACTTTTGCAGCGAGCTTAGAAGGAGCTGACAGTAGACTAATGGGGCGGTAATCCTGGGGAAATTATGACATCAGCGATCTTCCACGCCGTTGGGAAGTGCTGGGTCCTTAGCATAGCATTGATTATTGCCACGAGATAAGTTAAGAACTTCCGCGAAAGTAGCTTCAGCGCCTTATTAGTGACTCGATCCTCTCCAGGTGCTTTACGCACCTTGAGGTCTTTAATATGACCTTGAAGCTCTGCTAGTGTGCAATGCGGAGACTCAGGAGATTCCGCTGATGTGCCATGCAGGTCTTCAGTTGAGGAATCTTCTGAAGATTCCTGTGAGGAAAAATCACTAAGGGAGGCACTACTGCCACTGACGTCGTTGGCCCTAAAATATCCCCTGACGGATCTTACAATATGTTGCTCCTCGTCGAGGTCATTATCAAGGTCATATTTGGGAGAGAACTGACTTTCCATTGAATCAGCCAAAACCTCGACCTTTTCCTCTGTCCTACAGACTATGCCCCTAGGACCGTGGATGTGCGGGAGTTGTTCTCGCTTTCCGTTTCTGAGCCACTTTGCAACTTTCCAGAGAGGATTACTTGAGTCAAGCATCCCCGACAGAAATTCGCTCCATTGCTCATTACGGAATTCATGAAGAGCATTTCTCACTTCATGAACAAGATTCGTTGCTCTGTGAATGTCATTTGGGTGACAAGACCTCTTCGCTTGCTTAATTGCAGCTTCTTTGCCAGAAATTTTCTGACGAATGTTTGCAGGGAGAGTTTATTAACTCGTGAATGTATTTATTAAGTTCACTATAAATGTTTGAACTGCCTTCCTTCAGAAGCAATGCAAGCTTGATATTCTTAAAAATGATGAATTTTGACAGGTCATCGGGTATCCGCATAAATATATTCTCTAACTGAACAGGCAGTGGTCTTGCTGATACCACATCTCTCTGTAAATGCTTAGTGGAGCGTCTTGCAAATGATTTTGTTAACAGTCTAAATAAATTTTGCCATTCAGGAGCTCTGGCAGCTCTGACTGTACAATGATTCTCCCATTTAGAATCCCGGTCCACATGTTTACTTCAAGATGATACTGTCGTCTATCTTGTCTCATCAAATGTGGATTTTCTGCATGCCACAAGTTGTTCTCCTAAGGAAAGAAAATGAGGTGCATGTTGACGTATTCGTGTATGCTGTACACAGACATAGTGGCTCTACACAACCATGAATTAACAAAAGTGACGTCGCTACCTGTTTTGCTGTCTCTACGTAGGATGATACGATCCGTCACTCTGTCTAAGAAAAAATTGAAATTTGTTGTAACGGGAACTGAAAGATCATAACAGGGTGTAGATTTCTAAAGCCTTTAATTTGAAAAGTACACGACTTAGATTTTTTAAATTTGATAACTATTATGACTTGGCCTAACCCCCGTTTCCGGCTCGACGTCGACTTCTGGAACATCCTGTATAGAACACTAAAAATGGCTGCAAGTTGGTTACAAATGAATTTTGAATATCCATGAGTATGTCAGTCAATTTTTGTTTGCTCTGGTATCTTTATTGTTCACCAGCTGTGAAAGTTCTTTTGCACCTTGACATAAAAAATAATGGAGAGTGAAAAAAGTACTGGTGACTTAGAAAAAAATTATAGTAGCAGTTTTTTATCTCCTGATATCTGTACTATTGTCCAGCTTTGGAAATCCTTGCAACTAGTGATGTAATAGAATGAATATAATTGCAAGTTTATTTATTTATTTTATAATTGAGGACAACTTTTGTACGCCCTGGTATTACTACGTCTATAAAGACCCAAAGGCACGTATCGTCACTTGTTCCTACAATTGTAGGACGCCTTTATGGCCTCCTTGATTGTCATAGTTTTCTACTTTTCCGTGTCAGCGCTCTATTTTGAGGTTATTTCACAAATATCTATTGGCATCACATTGTGCAAGCTTTTGATTTATGTCATGTTTTATCAGCCTGAAATTTCCAACAATTTAAAAAGAAAACATATTTTCACAATAGGAGAGCGGTGACGCTGACACAGAACAGGTGCAATCTAGAAATTTTTGAAGGAGAGAAAGGATTATGACAATCAAGGAGACCATAAAGGCGTCCTACAATTGTAGGAACGACTGACGATAGGCATACATTCGAGTAACGACATGCCTTATTGCAAGATTGCTTGATGAAAAGGTACTAGAAGTAGATAAGATCTTGCATCCTTCATTATTAGAAATATTTGAGAGAAGATTGGCGAACGTCTAGTCGTTATTTCATTCATGAGTAACGGGAGCCTTAATGACAAACTCACATGAAAAGTACAAGACCCTGGCAGTAGCAAGACAATGACAGGAAGAATCGTTATTGGGCATGTGTTTAATCAACATTTCTCTTGATCCTGCTAAGTTTGAAATGGGTAAGCGCAAATATACGTCAAAAGCTATGTGCCCACAGCTGGGTATTGATATCTAGTTAGCCTTGGCCATTTGTAATGCACAAAACAAAATATAATTTACTGCAAAAATTCATGTGAATAAGTTTAAGCATTATAAAGCAAGAAATTTTTACTGCCGCCAGTGTGAAAATGGATAAAATGGAATATCGAATCTTCATTAAGTACCTGTATTTGAAGGGGTCACGGGGCAACCAGATTTACGTTGTAGCCTTCGTCGTGACTGCCCTTCATATGTCACTGTAAAAAATTGTATTGCTGGCTTCAAAAGAGGAAAGTTATCCATTCAAGATGATGAGCGACCTGGAAAACCCGTTTCAGTGTCAACCCCGGAAAATGTCGTTAGAGTTTATGATTGGATATTATCAGACCGTCGAATTGAAATAAACCTGTAGCTGAGACATCATTCATGTTGACTTGGACATGAAAAAAAATCTGCAAGATGGATTCCCAAATGCCTGAACGCGAATCGGAAGCGAGCACGATGAAAACATTGCGCGCAACCCTAGACCGATTTGAAAAAGACCAACAGGGTTATCACTTAAAAAACCTATCAAATTCGAAAAAGAAACGACAAACTTGTTGACTAAGTAGGCTAATGTGCAAATAGTGCATTTCGAACTTGCTAATAGTTTAGGCAGCAGCGGTGGCCGCAGTAGTAGACTCTTCGGTCTCCTGATCAGTCGCCGTGCGCTGTGCGGGTTCGAGTCCCGTCCCAGGAGAAATTTTGCTCTTGGCTATGGATGCTGTGATTGTCCGTAGGTGGTAGACGGTCTCTGACTGTCGAACGTGGAGGTACCACCCGGCGGATCTCGTAGGCGGAGCCAGAATGTGTGCATGTTGCATGCACACGTGTTCCCTCGCCAGAATCCGTGTGGCGTTCCCCTTTTCCCCTGTATCCCCCTATAGCCCCACGGTACCCAATGGGTGTTTAGGCCTTAGGCCTTCGTGGTAGTTGGAATATAAAAAAAAGTGAGAACGAAGTAAATGACAGCTAGTTTCAAGTTGCCGTCTTTTAGGAAAATCTACATAATGACATAAAAAACCTACATAATGTTAGAAAAAACTGAAATAATGTTACTTTTCAAGTTACGTAATACCCCCCATGAACTTTTTCAACAGTGTACTGTGTAACCATACGAAACTTGGGTACATTTCTACGATCCTGAGACAAACCTACAATCTATGGAATGGAAGCACTCTATGTCGCCAAGGCCAAAGGAACTTAGTTTGCAAAAGGCTTCTGGAAAAGTTTTTGCTTCAGTGTTTTGGGACCGTCGTGGTGTCATTTTCATTGATTACCTAGACAAGGGAAAGCCATAACACGAGAAGATTATGCAGCATTATTGTCAAAATTGCGCGAGTAAACTGTGGAGAAAAGACGCAAAGAGATTTCCAAAGGGGTTGTGTTCTTGCAAGGCAACATCCTCCTTATTCACCTGATTTGGCACCTTTCGATTATTATCTGTTTCCGAAGCTAAAAAAAAGCTTAAAAGATCGCAAATTTCCTTGGAACGACAAGGTGATAGAAGCTGTGGAAAACTCGTTTGCGAACTAAGAGGAAACATCTTTCCAAAAGGCTTAGAAGCTCTACAGGATCGAAGTAAAAAATGTGTTGAGTTAAAAGGGGACAATGTTGAATAACAAAATATTTACAGCTCAAAATTCTCAATGTTTCTGTAGTAGGCTAAGAATATATCATTATCCCCTCGTAATAGGTTGATAGAATAACTGGGGTTTGAAGTTTCTAAATATACTACCGCCAAAAAAAGAAATATACTCTTCCTCACTCTCAAGTTTAGTCGATTCTTATTTTTTTCCGATTTTTGCCCATATCTCTACCGTCTCTGGACCGATTTTCAAAACCTACAAATGTCTCTCGTCTTTGGCATAGTAGTAACCTTGTGTGACAATTTTATTAAAATCGGAGCGGTACTTTCCATGTTATGGACGGGCCTAGGATTAGCGGACAGATAGACCGACAGGCAGACCAACGGAAATGAGTCGTCACACGGTTTTTCGCGATATAGATGAGATAATATCTTACTATCGAAATTGTTTGCGATTACAATACTTCCTCGCCAGTGGGCTGGGAAGTAAAGACATCATATGACATGTTTGTATAAAAAAAGTTCAACCAGGATCCCTTAAGTAGATACAGGTCCTCAAGCGAAATAGCTTCTACTCGAGACTGTCAGATTTAAAAAACTGACGCTGTTCACAAAAAGTAATTAAGTCACTTAGATCGCCAGGGCGGACTGACCCTAATGCACTATTGCGTATTTTTTTACACCCTGCATAATTCTGGCTAATGGATGACATTTTCTGGAAGCTTGATTTTAAAGCTGAAGAAATATGCACCTGTTTAGTGTAATTGATAGGAATCAAGAATAGTTTTTCAGCCAATACAATGACCTTTAGAGAAATAGTTAATCCTTCTTCATGTCCATCATCATTTGATACACTAACTGGTCACTACTCTTACGATAACTACGAGCCCCTTCCCACTTCAGTTGGCCCAACTATTGAAATCTTAGTTTTTTTTTATCAAACACAAATAATAAAAATGTAGCAGGGTGTTATAGATTTAAAATATTAACAATGAATATTTTGATAATATATAGTAGAAAACACCAACTTTATCACTCGCTAATCAAATTTGCAGCATAAAAATAACACATGTTGCAATTACAGCATATCAACCTATTTTCATTTCAATGCAAAATAAGTAATAATAACGCATAGGTGGCTGTGAAAAATAAAAGCCATGACAATTGTTTTTATTAATCACAGCTATCAGAATACGTTTAAAATAGTTTTGGGTAGTTAAGGTTTTCAAAATGGGTAGAGGAAAGGTTATTAGTGAGAAAATTCGGTTACTGATAATTAAAGTTTTTAATTCTGTGAAATCAAACTCAGAAATTGCAACTTTGTTAGACTTATCGCGGTACAGTGTGAGAAATATTGTTAGAAGATATAACGTAACTGGTTCAGTTAATATTAAGCCACGATATGTGAAAAAAAGTAATATCACAAATGCCGACCGAAGAGCATTAGGAAGAGTAATCGTGAAAAACAGGCGTGCCAATTATTTACAATTAAGTGCTCTGTGGAGTGGGGCTGTTGGAAGGAGAATTTCGAGGTCCACAACTCATAGAGAGGCCCACAAACTGGGATTTAGCACTTGCAAGATGAGTTTTCTTATAAAAAAAGTGAAATAAAAACCCTAAAGTTGCACAACTTGTTTATAGGCCAAAGAAAAGCCACTATTAACTCCACTGCAAAAGAAAAATCGGCTTAGATGGGCTAAGGAGCATAGACAATGGACACCTCAACAATGGTGTGCAATACAATGGAGTGATGAAGTTTGTGTTGGTGACAGTCGCAGTAGAGTTATTCGCAAAAAAATGAAGCATTCCATGTTGACTGTCTGAAGAGAAAAGTGAAATTTCCAGCATCCATTATGTCATCAAAAGGAGTAGGAAAACTTCATTTTATTGATGAAAATGTGGATACAAACAAATATTTGGCATTTTAGAAGAATCGCTTTTACCAGTGATGGAAGAATGTTTGACATCCGGCCAAGATTTTGTGTTTCAGCAAAATGGTGCATCGTGCCATACCTCAAAAAAGGCTATAAAATGGATGGAAGAAAATTATGTACCACTCTTGAAATGGGTTTCTAGCAGTCCAGATCTGTCACCTATTGAAAATTTGTGGCACGAGATGAAAAAGGTTCTACGACAACATCCTGCTCGTACAATCACCGAACTGAGACAAAAGCTTCAAGAAATATGGGATTGTTTTTCACCAAATTTTTGTTGAAATTTTGTTAACACTATGCTCCAAAGAATTTCGGCCGTAATAAAAATAAAGGTGATGTTACCCAATGGTAATCTTTCAATTGTTGCTTTGTTAACTTCGTGCATTTATTCGCGCATTTATTCGCGCACATTATTTATTTGTTCAGATATATATTTTTTACGACTAGAGTGTATCTAAAATGTTTTTGAGAAAATAAATTGTTTTAGAAGTAAATAGTTTCGTCATGTTTACTTTATAAAGGCATATATATTTTGGTACAAATGGGCCAACTGAAGTGGGAAGAGGCTCGTAGTATGTAAAGAATATACATTGGTACTAGTCTGTCAAAATTTCATTAAATTGCACAGTGCCGTTCAAAAGTTGTTTAAGAAAAACCGTTTGCCGTTAGTATGCTTTATGAGACTGTAGCTCACTTTTATAGGAAGCTGTGCCATTATTTTGTTCTGTTCTGTGTGCATTCAAGAGATTTTCACTTATTCTGGGGCGGCATGTACTTATATGTTAACTAAATTTTGATTCACCTAGGTGTCAGCACAGGAGACGTCTGGCCCTAGATGGGGCCCCCAGCACAAGGGGGCTCAGGAACTGGCCAATCTGTACAGCAAGACGAAACGCACCCAAGAGTGCGTGTGCGTCGGCATTTGTCTCACTTTGATGGCTGTGAATTTCGTGTTCATCCTTCTCTACATAAGACTGGAGCAGCTCAGCACGGTTCTGGTAGCGGCAATCTGCGGCATCATCACGGCGGATTTCGCTTCTGGACTGGTGCATTGGGCTGCGGACACTTGGGGCACTGTCGAGCTGCCTATTATAGGTTAGTGTGGTTTTTATTTGATAATTGAAGACACAAGCGTATAAAGGTGTCCTGTAACAAAATCCTTGTATGGAAAAAATTGACTTTAAACTTTTTTTATTGGGACTTTTTGTTTTATTGACATTTTAAATATTTAGTTTAATTAGTTTATCTTGTTTTTTGCAACAAAGTAATGACATAATGTAAGAATGACTACTTAAGGTTAGTTTAATGCAAAAAATAAATTTAAAAAAAAATGTTACATGACAACTTTATCTACTTGTGCCTTCATTTGTCTTCTAGTCCTATGCCAAGTGAAAATGGGTCAAAACTAAAATTCTACGGCCTGGCGTTCTCAACATTCTTTTCTGGTTAGGAACTTCTCTCAAAGTAGCCTCCCACCACTTACGTGTCAGAATGGAACGATTGAGGGTTCTCTACACTATACAGGAAGTAACATTCAGGCACAAGACCTTGTCCTTGTCGCTCGTTATCAACAAAGTCTCTGATCCGGGCTTAATTGAAGAGGTGTGAAGCGGAGCTTGCTCCATTTCGTTCGCGTCTCTTCCAGATACCGTACAAATTCGGCACCATTCCAGAAAACTGGAAATTTGCTCATGTCCAACACATCCCAAGAAAGCGATCTGGAACCGACCCGACCAACTACAGTCCTATAGCTCTGCTTTCTGTTATAAGTAAAGTGATGGAGAGGTGCATATGTCACGGCTTGATTGGCAGCAAGCAGAATGGTTTGCGGCACCAGCGATCCACAGGGAACAGCTCATCCAGTCTTATGGTGAGGCTCATGTCGTAGCGTTCGATTAGCTGTGGCTCGCTGCCCTCTTATGCAAAACTTTCATCTTATGGCCTCCCAGAAAATCTTTGCAGATGGGACTTTCTCTTTGGCCGCATAAGTGACATATTTCCAGGGACAGTAGTATCAAGAAAATTCACACTGTTCCCGAACCTCCAAACTTAATAATAACTGGAATTACGTATATTTGCATCTATAAGTACAGAAATATAATAAGATGTACTAAGGCATAAAAAGCATCTGCAAAAAGGCAGTCTAGGACTGATCAAGGTACCAGCATGTCATCATCACGCACATAGTAATTAAATATCATCACCAAAATGGAATAAGAACAAAGAAAAAGTCTGAACTCGTCTAGAGACCGTACTGCTCGATTTAGGATCCTGACATTTCACAAAGCATAATGTCTCCATAGGTACTCCACAGAAAAAATAAATTCAGTCCGATCTGAGATATACGAGGTCTGTAAATTAAGTGAAGATATTGACGACGTAGTGTTCGATCTGGCAACACTGAAGGCGCCGGGTTTGGAGAGCAGACAGGGGAGCAATGTGATCCGCCTTCAGTACAAGTTTGAACTCGCTCAAGCCATTTGGTTGTCTGTAGCGATTTTTTGTATTCTAAAAATGAGTGACATCAATTTCGAGCAACGCTGTGCTATCAGGTTTTGCTTCAGACTCGGTCACAGTGCAACGGAAATTCTTGCTAAACCCCAGCAGGCCTACCGAGGTAGTGTTTTGTCAACAGCCCAGGTTTTTCGGTGGCTTAAGCCATTTTCAGAAGGAAAACAGTCGATAGAAGATGAACCACGAAGCGAAAGGCATTTGACTCACAACGCCGTTCATCAGACCAAGATCAACTGGGTGTTGCATCAAGATAATGCTCGATGTCTCAGCAATGTCAATAAACGAGTCTTTGACCAGTAAAAACATTCCTGTGGCTCCTCAGCCTCCCTGTTTGCCTGACTTGAAACCTTGTGATTTTTTCTCTTCCCGAAGTTGAAAAATGACCTCAAGGAAAACATTTTGCTACAGGCGTAAACATTCAAACGGCTGTAAGCGACCAGCTGAAGGCTATTCCAGTATCGGAGTTCCAGCACTGTTATAAGGAGTGGAAGAACCGTCTCCAACGGTGTGTGGCTATATTTGAATAAAAATTTAAAAAAACAGTCTCATCACTTAATTTACAGGCCTCGTAAGATAGGTCGTGGGTTTTTAGTTTTGACCCAACTACATTCGCGAAGATTATAAGCCTAAAGAGCATAACACTACCAACTTGCCTACTTCAGCAAATTTTCAGTATCTATTGCAATGTATCAGGTAACCAAATAAGTTCGTGAGGTTTTCAGTATAAAAATATAAATTTTTATCGAGAAACAATAAGACACTATTTATTCGTCGAAGTAACTACCATCACCTTTTGCCAACGTGGCACTAATTTTTGTATGCCGGTATTGTAGAACTACCTGGATTTGGAGTCAAAAAATTGGCGGACTGCATTTATTACACCATCTTGTCGGTGCCTCATACAATTGTCAAGAGACAAAAAAAGGTGATAATCACTAGGCGAAATTTCGGGAGAATATGGCGGGTGCGGTAACGTTTCCCAGCCGAGTTCAGAAATTTTTTCTCGAGTCACTTTTGCGGTAGGAGATTTGGCGTTATCCTGCAAGAATATCACTTTCTTCAGATTGATCAAAGAAGGCTATTTCTGGATGAGCGCTGTTTGTATTCGTTGAAGCTGCTCGCAATACAAGTTAGCAGTGATGGTTTGACCCCTTTCCAAAAACGCATAATGGACAATTCCCGTTGCTGTCCACCAAACATACAACAACACCTTGTTTGGGTGTAAGGAAGCCTTGGGCGCATGTGGTACCGAATTAGTAGGCGACAACCAATGATACGAACGCTTAGAATTCGATTACAAGATCCATTTTTCGTCGCAGGTTAATAACCGATTAAGAAATGGTTCATTAGCGTTGCTTGAAATGTTTGCTGATCAAAAGGTAAGACGGCTTAGGCCCGTATCGTCAGTCGTCCCTACAATTGTAGGGCGCCTTTATGGCCTCCTTGATTGTCTTAGTTTTCTACTTCTCCGTGTCAGCGCTCTATTTTGAGGTTATGTCATAAACATCTATTTGCATTTGCAATTGTGCTTGCTTTTGAGTTATATCATGTTTTATCAGCCTGAAATTTAATACAATTTAAAAAGAAAACATATCTTCACAATAGGAGAGCGCTGATGCTGACACGGGACAAGTGTAATCTAGAAATTTTTGAAGGAAAGAAAGGAGTATGACAATCAAGGAGGCATTTGTCAGTTCATGTGGGACCCATTTGCTTAACTTCCACTTCTTTCGTAGCTGATGAAGATGCAAACTAATAGTTTCAGGACTCACTGTGAACATTTCTGCAAGTTCTGGGCACGTTGTCCTGGAATTTGCGACCACAACCTGTCGAAGATCCTCGTTGTTCATGATTTTTGGTCTCCCTGAGTGCGGTTCATCGTTCAAACTGAGATCCCCCGAAGAAAATTTTTTGAACCGCTTCTGTGCTGTTCGATCACTAACGGCATCATCTCCGATTGCGGTACATATTTTTCGCGCCGCCGCTGCAGCTTTTGTACCAAGTTTGTACTCATACAGTAAACAACATCGAATTAGTGTTTTATTCGTCGCCATTTTCAATTATTAAAACTAGGTATGTAACAACTTTCAGCAACTTTTTATGTGTGTGAGAAAAGAACGATTCATACTAAAGTGACAACAGGTAACAATCAATCGCTATCGATCAACAACATCCATGGCAATGTGCGATATACAGCAACCGCACGAACTTATTTGGTTACCTGATAGTTGATATCGGAGTTTGTTAGCGATAGCGGAGACGTTATAAGGATGCTAAACACGTCACGCTTTTAGCGTCGGTCTACTAGGAAGGAACGTGTTCTATACGAATGCTAAAAACACGTTAGCGCCAGTCTATCAGGCATTCGTGAAGCTAAAATCATGGGAACGAAAATTGCGTCAACGCGTCTGCTTCGGGCTGGGCTACTCTGTAACAATTTTAGCGTTTCTAATTGATTGATTGTTCCATTCGTTCGGAATTAGAACAAAGTAATTCTTTTGGAACGTCCAAAGTGCACTCTTATTCCCGAGTAATGTCACCTGCCATTTACATGGTTCATTGTTTGTTTACTTTATTTGGTTTTTAAAAAGTGCTCAACATTGGCAGAATATACATTTTTCACGACGAATAAGTTGCCCCGCAATCATAGCGCTACTTATAATAAATAAAATGGTCCCAGAAAACGTGGTTAGAAATTAATCGGCTGTCATCAAGTAACTTTATATGACTTATGTTTCACAGTATTCCAGAGTAAAATTTCATCTGATGATCTACATTCCATTACTGTGTACAGTATTACATTACTAAGTTATTTAGGCAGCAGCGGTGGCCGCAGTAGTGGACTCTTCGGTCTCCTGATCAGTCGCCGTGCGCTGTGCTGGTTCGAATCCCGTCCCAGGAGAAATGAAATTTTTCTCTTGGCTATGGATGTTGTGATTGTCCGTAGGTGGTAAACGGTCTCTGACTGTCGAACGCGGAGGTACCACCCGGCGGATCTCGTAGGCGGGGCCAGAATGTGTGCATGTTACATGCACACGTGTTCCCTCGCCAGAGTCCGTGTGGCGTTCCCCCTTTCCCCCTTTCCCCTGTATCCCCTATAGCCCCAAGGTACCCGATGGGTGTTTAGGCTTTACAAACGCACCCCTGTACTTGCAGTCATTAGTCATCGCACCAAGTGGCTTGACGTTACTCCATTTCGCTTTTCCGGTACTCTATTTCTATAAATTATTTCACACCATCTCATCTTATATTCATCAATCTTTTTTTCATTATGATTTCCTCGATTTCGATTTTAACGCCTAACGCGGCGACCATGTGTTCAAAGCAACAAGTAACTGCCTAATAGAGTTGCGACTTCAGCGTCAGTGTGATATAAAAAACGCGATCTTCTTCGCGCTTTTAGCGCCCGTATAACATGCCAAATACCATTCACTAAGTGCAAATTATACAACCGATAATTGTGTCATCACAACTGCATTGGCCGACCGTTGAAGACGGTGTAGAAACCAGCAATCACAGTCCCTCCGAATAGCTTGACCTCGCATCGCCTCACTCCATTTTCTGGTGCTCTATTTTGGACTAATTGCATATTTGACCAGACAATCTTCTATTTCTACGTTCATGAATAATGTCAATGCGTTAAAGCCATGATGGGGCCGTCTTGTATGGAGAGCTTAACATATCAACCTCGATGTCGAACCACAGCGTCACCGTATTCGTTATCTAAAGGTGGTTTCCATAGCATCCGCCCTAACAACGTATCACCGACGCTTATTATCCATATAACGTCACAGACATTAGTACAAATAATAAATTACGTTATTAAAAAAACGTCTAGGAGACCAAACGCATGTATCTATAGAATATGTATTTGGCTATCCGTTATTACGAGGGCCGTTTGATAAGTCAGCGACTTATTGAATTTCCGGCGCGTAACGCATACGGTATCATCTACATCGATTACCTTGAGAAGAGCAGAACGATCACGGGAGAGTACTATTCAGAGCTGTTAGACAGATTCAACGTTGCTTTGAAGCAAAAAACGACCGCACTTGGCGAAAAAAAAATTGCTGTTCCATCAAGGCAACGCACGGGTACACATGTGTGTAGTCTCGATGGCAAAAATTCATGAACTGGGCTACGAACTGCTGCCACATCCAGCCTATTCTCCAGATTTAGACCCCAGCGACTACTTCCTATTTCCAAACCTGAAAAAATGGCTGGGTGGTAAGAAATTTGGGTCGAATGAAGAGGTCATCATTGAAACAAACACACATTTTGGGAGCCTTGATAAAAACTACTATTCGGAAGGAATTAAGAAATTGGAAAAACGCTAGACTAAATGTATCGAGCTAAAAGGAGATTATGTTGAAAAATAAAATGCTTATTTACCGAAAAAAAATTTTTTTTATTTGAACAGTCACTGATATATCAAACAGCCCTCGTAAACAGAATTTTGTTCTGCAATGACAAAAATCAACGATATCATTTGACTGATGTCACATCTACATCTTCATCCAAATCTACATTTACAACCTCATCTACATCTACAATACATCTACATGTACATCTGCATAGATGTATATCTAAATCTACATCTACATCCGCTTCTACATATGCATCTACATCTACATCCACATCATATGTTTTCAGAAATATCCGAATTTTGAATATTTTCTCTCATGTAAATGGCCGCGGTTCAGGAGATAATCAATCACCTCTGCTCTTACTTGTAGATATTCCTGCTTGGGCAACGTCGGCATCTTAATGCTGGTAATGCTTTACCATCTTTTTTGATTAATATGTTAATTAAAATTATGTCAAAAAATATACATTCGAACTAGAGTTGAAGGTATTTGAAGCAGACTATAACCTTGGCTTAACGTCTTTCTCTATTAATAAACTTTGCCATACACTATTTTTGAAGCAGAGGTTTATCGGAGATATACGATATCTGTCATTACTAGAAATAACGACTATTTCCAGGTAAAAACTTCTTGCGACCATTCCGTGAACACCACATCGACCCAACGTCGATCACCCGCCATGACTTCATCGAGACCAACGGCGATAACTTCATGGTGACCATTCCTTTCCTCACCTACATGGTGTGGCACTTCATCGTTTCCTCCAAGGAAGAGATACATAGACATTTCTCCTGGACTTGTTACGTATTCTTGCTGGCCATTTTCGTAGCTATGACCAACCAGATACACAAGTGGTCACATACCTATTTTGGCTTACCACCTTGGGTGGTGTTTCTTCAGGAATATCGGGTCATACTTCCCAGGTGAGCATTAAAAATGTTTTTTCTTACTTACAGGTTATGGAGTCCATGTCCGAAAATTAAAGATGACACGAAAAACGATCTCACACAATACCGAATATCTGACCACGCTCTTGGCCGATTTCCATTAGTAAGCTTGAGTACCGAAAAGGAAGAGAGTAGAGGACTACATCGCACGCCACTGGATAGCGTGGCATACGGCGGGATACTCACGCTCTGAATTTGTCATGCAGTGGCGTGCGATGTGTTTTGCTGCTCTCTGCCTTTTCGGTATCAGGGTATAGTTACATATTAGGTTACGACCTGCCTCATTGCAGAGCGCATGGTGGTATGGCAAAACAAAGAAACAATCCTTCTGGAAGCGCCGAAAATTATTTGTAATGCGTCCTGTAGTACCGATGATCATTCTTCTCCACCACCTAAGAAAATAAATGTCAATGAAAATGACAAAATTATTGATTTATTTTTGAAGAAGCTGCTACAGAAAATAGGGAGAAAGATGCGGGAAAGGAAAGGACTATCGCAATGTATATTGCGCTAAAATTTTGCGTAACAGAGGTTGCAAACTGATGGATATCAATTTCTATGAAGGGTGAAACAACAAATTTTCGTTGAAATCCATGAAACGATTTTTGAAGTTATCCTTCAAGTTAGAGACTATTTCTATATGATATTTGCTGTCATATGGATCTAATGGACATTGAGATATCTTTTTTGAAAGAACAGGAAAATACCTGGTATCGCCATCGATTAAGTTTTGTTCCCAAAACTCAAGCGCTGTTTTTGTTAAACGCTTTTATATCAGAAATCATTTCTGCTAGTTCTTGGTCTCTGCCCTGAAGCTGCAAATCAAGTTCATCTAATTTTTCTGTAATATCTACAAGAAAACCAAAATCTCTAAGCCAGATTGAATTTTACAGTTCCGGAATCGGTTCATCACGTTGTTTGAAAAATTGGCAGATATGATATCATTAAGACGTTTCAGTACTCGTCTCCTACTTAACCATCGGACTTCAGAGTGAAGAAGTAGTTCCCCGTATTGACAGTCAAATCCATCGGCCAAGGTTTTGAATAATCTTCTTTGTAACGCTTGAGCTCTAATCTTGTTCACAATTTTTACTACCAATTTCATAACGTTGTTTATTTCTTAAAAAATGTCCATATAATGCTTGCTGATGGATAATGCAGTGGTAACAGAGAAATTGCGAAAAACTTTCATCTTTACGACATAACCTTACGAGACAATTATCACGACCCACCATAGCTGGAGCGCCATCGGAATTTTCTCAGAAGAAATAGTATTTTTAAAAGAATACAAGTCCTGCCGAATAGTCTGTCTTTTTAGTGGAATAAACTTCAAAAGATCTTCTTTAATCGTAAAACCACTAAAAGCTGCAGTGATAAATAAGCACAGTTATCGAAGTCATTTCTTAACTGTGAAACTATATCATTGCTCATTACTTCTACTCGTCTCAACACTGTATTAGCAGAAAGTTGCATAGATTTTATAGCAGACACTATCTCGTCTTTATTTATAAAGGTGGCAAATAATGAATCTGCTGCCTGTATTATCATTTTCCCGTCTTCATAAGGTTTCTTCTTATGTGTAATTATCTGGGACAGCCGATATGATGCTTCAGTTTCAGCCTTACTTTTGTCGATTGTTTTTAAAAACATTGTCTGTTGTCCAATTAACGGATTTTTTAATTGTTTCAGTTTTTCCGTTTTGATTGCAGAACGTAATGGGAATGATTTTTCAAAATCCGAATGTTCAGTTTTATAGTGTCTCTCGATATTCCCTTGTATAGCAACGGAAACAGATGTATTACATAACAAATTTACATTTTTATCTTTAGCTTCTGTCAAGATATATTGTTCTTCCCATTCCGAATGGAAATGGTATGTCTTCATCTTCTTACAAACACTCATAATGTTTTTAATTGCAGGCCAACTCTAAGCCAACCGCTGGACTTTTTGCCGTTCAGTTTTAAACTGAGCGCGCTGTCGCCTCGCCTTGCGTGTTTATTCCGTACAAAGTATTCGAGATCATTCTCGAACAGATCGCTCACCACAGTGTTGCCTCTGCTTGTGCTTATTATGAGAATTTACAAGATTCACGGAAGCTTCTATGATTTTACACCTTTTCAAAATATGTTGTGAGCCATCAGAATCGCCTTTGCGAGCTACCGGTAGCTCGCGATCGACGGGTAGGCGACCACTGGTCTGGAGACAGGTTCTTAGTTCCTGAAGAAGTTGAAGGATTAACTGAGAACATAATTAGGGCCATAGTGGAAGAGTTAACACTGAGATGGTAAAATATCTTCGGATATCTCCTACTTGCAAGGATATTGATCAAAGACCATAATGCTAGGGAGGACATTCTTATCTTTGCTTATAGAACAATTTACGATTGTTGGCTGAATGACATCTTCACATCATGGGGTTTAGGCGTTTGTTAATGATCTACCTTGCGGATATATTTAAGGTCTTAGTGAGACCTTAGGGTATCGCAGACAGCCTTTTTCGGGATCTAGTGTGCTGGAACAAGAAGGAATGAGATGGGCAGGACCTACTGCTATCTTGGCATCTGCGAAACAGATCGATCTCGAAACTAGTGTAGGTAGAAGAGCAAAAGGGCCCACTAGGTGGCCACCAATGATTCTTTACATCGCATCAGCTCTTCTCTTTCAATCAATCATTCATAAGTAGAAGGAGCGGATATCCTGACTGATTCTGAAGCTCACCTTGGCCGCCACTATTCCATGCGTATTCTTTTCAGGAGACACCACCGTATCCACCACGTAGCTCCACACGAGACCTATTTCTGCATAACCACTGGGTGGTTGAATTGGCCGTTGGAGAAGCTCTGCTTCTGGAGCGCTTTGGAAGTAATCATTGAAGCTTTAACGGGCTACAAACCCAGGGCGGACGACATGAAATGGGCTCAGAAAGGGACGTGACAGTGTGACTGATGTGCTTAAGGCTGTGCCAGGATCTACCAAAGTGATATTTTTAGGCTATAATGGAGGATACTGCTGCAGAAGGAGGTTCCTCATTGAAACGATGATACAATTTCAAAGTTGCTGGCAATATTTCCATGTCAAAATTACGTCAAGAAACACGGTAGGTTCGTATAAGCGTGGATCCTTACGGGGTGTCAAAGGCGCCGCCAGGTTAGGACACTGAAGATTAAAATCCCATAAGAAAATGGACGGAGTAGCACCCAAACCAAAACAACTAAACGCAAGGTACATTGGACTTTATACTGTTCTTATCACAATCACCATACTACACGTGTAAAATTTGATGTGCTATAATTTATACATTTCTGATTGCGGGGTGTTGTTCATGGAATCGGGTAAAAATTAGATATATGTATGTAGCAGATGAAGGTATTGGATCCAAATGTAGATATTTCACAAAAATATTTCCCACCTAAGAAGCTATAGAAGGAGCGCAGAAACGGGGATAATTTATCATACAGAAAAAAATATACGTTGTGCGCCTCTGACACTACTCAATCTCATGTAAATTGCCTCTCTTGAAAAATGTTTGTCAAATCAAGTCTGGAGAAAATTTGAAGTGAAATCGCGCAAACCAAATGGAAAAAATCGAAATATGCTAATTGTATAAATTATGAAAGTAACACAACTCTGCAATAGAGCCAATAGTGTGGAAGATTACATCCTGTCAGCAAGAGAAAATTTTCAGACCTAAGCTTATACGAGTCTTCGTGTTACTCGATGTACTTTCTGCCAAAGAATTTGTATAGCTAACAAAAAATAAACGATGCCTTCTTTGTTAACTCCTCAACTGTTACTTTTATTACAGTTCTTTTACGAGGGCGGTCCGATAAGTACCTATACTCAACACCCGGTGGCGCCATTACCGGCAGAGACCGCTGCGGTCAAAATTTCAACTGCGGTAATGTTGTTTTGACCGCATGTGTAAGCAGGCGTGTCAGCGGATTTTTTAAAAATATCGGTCGGTGATTCGAAAATCACGCAGCGAAATCGAAGAGCGCTTGGATGCCGTGTACGATGAGGCTTCTCCTTCGATGGCGACCGTCCAAAATTGGTTTAACGAGCTGCTGATGAGCCACGCCCAGGTGCCCCGAAAACGGCTACGACGGAGGTTAACATCACAAAAATCTGTTTGCGCGATGGGTGCCGCGTTTGCGTAACACCGCTTCAGAGCAGTGTTTAACGCTGTTTAAGTGCAATCCAATGGAGTTTCTGCGTCATTTCGTGACCGTAGACGAGTCATGGATCCACTGGTACACATCAGAGGCTAAGAACCAGTTGAGACAGTGGATTTCATCCGACGAACGTGTTCCGAAGAAGGCGAAGACTACCCTATCGATCGGGAAGGAGATGGCTACCGTTTTCTGGGATTCGCAAGGTGTGATTTACATGTACTACCTGAAGAAGTGCAAAACAGTCACAATTTCTGCCAAATTTTCTTTTTTGTTTTGTTGTCTATGTACTTCGCGGACTGCCCTCGTATAACATAGCAGCCATGAGAATTTTTTGACTGAATCCGAAAGCGCTATTGAGTATAGTTTTCTCTAATACTATGAGAGCTTTCTTTCTGCAGTGGCTATGTGGACCAATATGACGGTTTGACGTTAAGAATGCTTCTTTTCTATATGTGATTTTTATCAGTAAATATTGCAAAGATCAAAGCTGTTTCAATAATTACTATCAGATATTTTATACATTGAAAAATATACGATGTTTGCAAACAACGATTCTATAAGAACTTGCTGGAGGATCCGGTGACAGAAGCTTATGCTTTCAAATTGAAGTTTGAATATTGTATGAGTTCGACTCCAGTAGGGAAAAGGTAAGTAAGGAAAATCCTATTTATTAGATGATTAAATATAGACAGCTGCAGGTATATGCCTCGAATGGCTATAAAGCAGGATATTAATCCTTTATTTTATGCAGTATAGCGTAAGGGTTTATAGCTATCTGCAAACATCCAGGGAGAAAATTCATTACTTAACTGAGCACGTAAATGTAACCTATCAACACATACAATGAAAATAATTATTTATGCTTCTAAAGTGGGTCTGCGGCCGCAGGCTCTAACACGTCAAATAATAACGGGTAATTTTTTAAGAGGTATAGGATTTGATTTTCAAAAAAACACAAAAAATTTGAAAAAACGATTAAATCTTTATTTGAGTCGATAGAACGGTCGATATAATTTAATGTTTACAGATTATTTCATGTAAATGTTGGGCGCGGCTCCGCTTTAGATGGCCCATGCGCAAGGTCCAATTTTGGCACACTCTCTCCAACATATCGGCCGGTATCTCACGAATAAATGCTTCAATATTGGCTTTCAGTGCATCAATCGTTGCTGGTTTATCCCTGTAGACATTAGCCTTAACATGGCCCCACAAGAAATAGTCCAACGGCGTTAAATCACACGATCTAGGCGGCCAATTGACGGGCCTCAAACGTGAGATAAACTGTTCACCGAACTCGCCTCTCAATAGGGCCATTGTTTCGTGTGCGGTGTGGCATGTGGCACCGTCTTGTTGAAACCACATGTCAGCCAAGTCCAGCTCTTCCATTTTGGGCAAAAAAAGTTTGTTATCATCGCACGGTAGCGTTCGCCATTCACAGTTACGTTCCCGCCATTGTCGTCTTTGAAGAAGTACGGCCCGATGATGCCACCGGCCCATAATCCACACCAAACATTTTTTCGGAATGCATTGGTAGCTCTTGCAATGCTTCTGGCTGGTATTCACTCCAGATGCGGCAATTTTGCTTGTTAACGTACCCATTCAACCAGAAATGAGCTTCGTCGCTGAACACAATTTTTCGATAAAAATGTGGATCTTCCTCCAACTTTGCCAGCGCCCGTTCACCAAATTGGAAACGTTGTGGGAGGTCGTGTGGCTTCAATTCTTGCACCAGCTGTATCTTATAAGGTTTTACACCCAAATCCTGTCGCAAAATTTTCCACGTAGTGGAGTAACAGAGGTCCAATTGCTGCGAACGGCGGTGAATCGACATTTCACGGTCATCACTGGCGGATGCAGCCGCAATATTTTCTTCAGTCCTCACTCTACGTCTGCGTGTTGACGGTTTAATGTCCAATAATGTAAACTGGGTTCGAAATTTAGTCACAAGCTTCCGAATAGCTCCCTCAGTAGGCCGACCAAATTGCCCATAAATTGGAAGTGGTGCTCGATGCACTCTCTTAACCGAGCATGAATTTTGATAGTAAAATTCAATAATTTGCAAGCGTTGTTCGTTCGTAAGTCGATTCATGGTTAAATTATAGACCAAACTGAACAAGTTTGACAATGACACAAGACACGATTCACGCGTCATCTGTCAAAAACAGTGTTGCCAAAAAGATACTAGCAAAAAAATCACCCATTATAAACTCATATTACCCCCAAGATGCATAGGCCATTTCATATCTGACCAGCTACAGGCTTAACAAAAAATCTAGCAACTAGGTAATCATGAAGATAGATAAATCAACAGTACTATATCCCCGGTAGCCATCAACGAATTAGAATAGATTAGATGGAACCACGCCTATATGTTTATATTGCATTGTTTGTCGCCATATTTGTATACTTTTAGTGCATACTCATTTGACAACAATTGCATACCAAAGTGACAACGTTGGATCAACATCATAATACTCACTGGCCGAAAGATCTACCTTCATTACAATTGTCCCGCTCTTTGCAAATTATGTAAAAAGTATCATACCATGAAATCTTCTATCACACAATTATATTATAACACCGGCACGGGTATCGCGCATGATGAAAAGTGACATTATGTCGATTTTTTTTACATTAAGCTGTAAGTTGTATGTGTTGATGATAATTACATTGGGTTCTTGTTTCAAATACACTTAATTGAGATTCAAATCTGGAAATTAGTTGCGCATCCACTTTTTCTTATCCATTCTGGAAATCACATATACAAATTTGCTGAATTTAAAAAATGAGAGAGATAAGAAATAATTATATTCACTGTACACTGTCGAATTACAAGCCATATACATGCTAACAGTAATTACACACAACGCGGGCGCGGTGATGATTTCCCGTAATTCTCAGTTTTTCGTAATTTATAACTTTGTACATAACCTCTCTTCAGAAAGCACAACATATAAATAACCCGACATATTCGGCATATTCAGTAATGACTTTTTCACAGCAAATATCATTGACTTTATACACATGCAGACCAATACACATAATCATCCAGATGCGATCTTGCTATTCAACCAATTTTCTTCTCAGAGATAAAAACTACAGACACGGATCACTCAGCCTCACAGAACTATGCAACCAATAATGCGTAGTTTAGTTGAGTGATTCCTCCATAGATGGACGTTCACAACGATCCTAGTGTGCAAACTTGGAATGACTGTTTGCGCTCTAAAAACTACCTAGTCTGCAAGTTGACATCTTATAGGTTTTTTTTGACGTTTTGTAGGTTTTTTACATGATACCCGTGCCGTACTTGAAAATAATAACACTAAAAATACGAATTTAATGATAGAACCAACAAAAAATTAACTCATGTCAAGTCCACTTGTAGTATACACTTTTAGAGCGAGATTTTGGAGACAAGCAAGTCGTGGGCTCACTCCTTTTACCCAGTCTGAATTCGTTGGTAGCCACGTAGGCGTTGCCTACCATCAAATGAATACGAACACTTCTTGTGGTCGCCGAAGCCAATTGAAAAATAGCGGGTGCTAAAAAACTTTATCGCCTTAAAGCGTAAAGAAGCCCGCAGGATTTTGAGACTTAATGCTCACAAAATCGATGTACATTTTACCGCACTCTGATGGTAAAACAATTGAATACTTATACACTGTTGGATTGACGAGGTACGTCGTTTCCAAAAATAATAATAACTTTATCCTAGAATTGAAATGCTAGTTGTTAAAATTTTATGATATGCCATAATAACTATACCGTTGTGCTCTGCAAAAATAGTATATCACATACCTAGGTTGAGAAGTGGTTCATTATTGATCCGGCGCTTTCATATTCTGAGCCGCGTAGGAGATCAATAATGGCCTTCTCAAGCGAGGTATGTAAGGAATTGTTTTCATTGCTAACATTAATATCACTATGCTAAATTTTATTATAATTAGATATCTGAATGTATGTACCCTAACCTAAATGTAAATTAACGGTCACCACTTTGCGCACTTGTTTTGTTTTTAAAAGATAGGTGCTTGCACATATGTTATCTTGAAATCCCCTGGAGGGGCTGGTCTATTAGTAGTAGGCAATTCAGAAACCTCGTTATTATCAAATAAATTTACGGATTGCACAACATGCAACGTTTGAATTGTTTTATCTATATTGCTATTCCTATGCGAATTAAATATACTGACACTGCATTTAAGATTACATTATTTATTTTTGCCAAGTATAAACATCATTAGAACTTTGTTCTACAACTATATGTTTAGATATGAGATATTTTCATAAATTGTTCGAATTTATGTAATCATCTACTAAACGTTTTGAAGCGACCACACTGGCGAAATTATTTTTGGACCATTCAGTAGTGTCAAGGCTGCGAAAGTAAAAATAGAGATATTTAGTAGAATGATAGAGACACTAGCTAATCCAGGAATCAGGAAGGGAATGTAATAATTTTCAAATTGAAACTCTAATAGAGAGTGAGCCATCTGGTGTTTCGGATTTAAACTAGCGGTTATATCAACATCGAATGCTAAAATCTCATGACATGTCAGAACGTTAATATTACAAATTGGAACCTTCCGATGAGCTTTCTTTGACCCATTGGGCTGTAAATTGCTTGGTCAAAAATCAGCGCTTTCACCAAAAAATCATATTTCCAGGCGGCTATGTGAATAAGCACACTATAATAGCCGCATTTGGGGATTAGAAAATCCACAGGTAGTCGAGGAGAAATCGATGCATGTATAGTCAACGCCAAACAAAGTGGCGTGCACGTCATCAAGGTGGGTGTGCTGAAAAATTTACATTGTTGCCAAACTTTTTGTAAAATAATAAAATTTATTATTTACATATCTAGGTTTATAAGCAATATTAACCTCAAATGAGAACAAAAATAATAGTATAATAAAATTATAGATCTGTACTTGCATAATCATTAAGTATGACAATTATTGATCAGATGACACTATGAAACTACCATATTTAATTGATAGCTTAAAGGTACTGAATATTAATAATCCAATTGGGGTCCTCCAAATTTTATGCATGGTATTTATTTTACAGAATTCATACAGAAAAATGCATTCTAAAATTAGGTAAGCTACTGGTGTAAGCTTTTTCTGTACAATAAAGTTAGTCGGAGTTTCTTTCTTCAGCGCTGTCTGAATCTGAATCTTCATCACTCTCAAAGTTGATTATTAAAGGCTCGATGTCTGGTCGATCAAAAATTCGTTCTCTTTCATACCATTTAAAAATTTCTTGCTCAGTATGTCGAACACTATTTTTCCACATGTCTAGGGTAACCGTTTGTAGAGCCTCGTTCCACATATCCAAACAGTCTTTTTCACTGTTACCATCTCTACCAATATGTCTGTTATAGTAACCTTTTGCTATGCCCCAAATTAACTCAATAGGGTTAAATATACAATGGTAAGGAGGCAGACGAAGAACTTTGTGCCCATGTTGTTCCGCCAATTCATCAATCACGTATATTTTAGGTGGTTTGTTTCTAAAAAAGCAGTTATTTTAAGAATAGGAATAAACAAAAGAAATATAAACTGTCGACCAAAATATATATAATTAAGAAGCATTATGTACCGAGCAACAATACTCAATAGCTCTGTTTTAAACATTGTGTTTAAAAATGGTATGTTTTGATTTGTCAACCAGTCTTGGATATTTTTTTTTGTCCATGCATTGTTGGGCACTTTGTTCAATATCATGCTGTGATAAGGGGCGTTATCCAGTATAATCATAGATGGACTCTCCAATTTTTCTAATAACTGATGTTGAAACCATTTCAAAAAATTGTCCTGTTTCATCTCTCCATGGTAATCGCTCAATTTTGTTTTCGAAGAAAATATCGCTTCACTACCCTCAATAAACCCATTTTCATTTCCAGCATGTAATATAATGTATCTAAAATATATTAGTTTTAAATTTTATAGTGCAAATTGTGTAAAAGTACATACCTTTTACCATCTGTTTTAATAGCTTTCACGCTTTTTTGGTTTCCATTTTGCCAAGAGCGACCTATGGTCCCATTTTGAAATATCCAAGTTTCATCGAGGAAGACAAACTGGTATAAGGCCTCAACCTTGGCTTGATTGTATTGCTTTAGAAATTCCACCCTTTTCAAAGCTATACTTGGTAGTTCCATGAGCCCTCGTCGCGGATTGTCCTTAAGCCACTTAAATCCAAGATCTCTAAGCAACCGCCTTAAAGACGTGGCACTACCATCAAATAATGCCCTATCTCTTAATCGAGACCATAAAGTTTGTATCGTAACTTGTTCTTCTGAAACCATGTGTAATATGACATTATAATTTAGTTAACAAATTAATGCAAATTTCTGATAAGTTATTATAATAAGATCTTACTTTTGTGATACATATTATAGATCACTTCTCGAATGGCACTTGTATCCAATGTCGCTGTGTTGGTTACACGTTTAATATAACTCCGCTTTTTCTTGGGCGATTCTAAATTTGCATCACTTTTCACACCCTCGGAAATACGACTAACTGTCCTTAAACTAATTTTTAAAGCAGCAGCAACACGCTACAAAAAATGAAATAAAATTTCACTATTATTAATATACATTACATATAATTATTAGTAACTTACCTCTTGAACAGCATTTAAAGGCAACAAAGGCCCGTTGTTGTCCCTTTCTTGCTCAAAGTAGTGCATTAACGAGGCCACGAGTTCCTTACACCGACTATTTAACTATTTGGGCATCTTTATATACCAAAATTGCCTTTATCTACTCGTAAAATGAATAATTTTGTTTTGAAACAAACAGTTGTTGATTTACAGTATGCGGGGCCAAAGGATTTATAAAGATTTGAAATGCCACAAATTGATTCAGTGTCAAAATTAATACAAATGTCAGTTCCCAGTTTAAATAAGTTTCAAGGTGACAATGTGTCAACGCTGCGAAATCGGTTTAGTGCGTTTACATGTCGATAAGTGATTGGAGCGTTTGCAAAACATTTTATTTCGCATAATGCGTCTAAATTTATCAGAAAGCAACTTATGTGATATTTTAATAACAATGTTTATACATATGACTATTAACCATAATAAGAGAGTAATGACCATTTTACAATTTATATATCACATTAATATGAAACTGCAATAGAGCAATTGTTTGTGATAGAAACCTAGGCATTAGGTCGGGGAATTTTTATCGTGATGACGTGCACGCCACTTTGTTTGGCGTTGACTATATACTAAGTGACACATAAATCCGAACACCCAGTTTAAATGGTTTTATTTTAATAAAAGTTGGTGAATGTATTTATCTTACTATAAATAACAAGTGAAAAAATTTTCAGCCTTATCAGTTGGACATTCCGGTTTTTATACTGCTTTTTTTTAATTCACATAACGCTCTAAAAATGAATATTTCAGCCGCAGTAAAGAATCAACGTTGGCGGATTTTGGTTCTTGACATCCTTTACGATCGGTTACGATGCCTAGAGTACGGAGACCTGTACGATTTCGTCAACTTAGTGAGTTTGATAGGGGCCGTATAGTGGGACTTCGGGAAGCTGGACTTTCTTTTCGGGCAATTGCAGTTAGAGTGCAAAGAAGTGTAGACACTGTGGTTAGGTGTTGTCAGGCATGGCTTCGAGAAGGCCGTACGCAATGAGCAAGGGGCACTGGACGCCGCCGTAGAACAACAGACCGTGAAGATCGCCGCCTAAGATTATTGGTCTTAAGGTACCGTTTCTCCACTACCAGGTCCATTGCAAATGAATGGTTTGCAGAACACGGAACACCTATTGGCATGCGAAGTGTTTACCGACGAATGAGAAGTTTTGGCTTGTTTTCATACCGGCCACACTGGGTCCTCCCTTTAACTCGAGAACACCGACGTAATCGCCTTGAGTGTGCAGACAACGGTCACTCTGGGATCAGGAATGGAACAGTATTGTCTTTAGTGACGAGTCTCGATTTTGTTTAGGCATGCACGATGGTCGTGCCAGGGTTAGAAGGCGACGTGGTGAAAGGCGGAATCCACAGTTTTTTGTTGAAAGACATGTTCATCACACTGTTGGAGTTATGGTATGGGGTGCAATAGCTTATGGTTCCAGGTCACCTTTAAACTTCATCAGAGGTAACATGAACGCGCAGCGTTATATCCACGAAGTTCTAGAACCCCATCTTTAACCCTATCTTGACACCCTGGCAGATCCAACTTTCCAACAAGATAATGCCCGACCACATGTTGCAAGAGTCACAATAGCCTTCTTTCAACATAATGATGTCACATTGTTACCATCGCCACCAAGATCTCCCGACTTATCCTCAATTGAGCACGTGTGGGATATGATGGGTAGGAGATTGCTCAATTTGCAACGTCCTCCTCAGACTCTAGAAGCACTTCGAGAGGAGTTGGTGGTTGCCCGGAATGAGATACCACAGGAGGACATTGACCACCTGATCAGAAGCATGCCTAGGCGCGTTGGAGAATGCGTAGCACATCAGGGTGCATCCACACATTACTAAATGTCAAGTGCAATCATTTTGAAATTATTATCATTTACTTATTATGCTTCATTAAGTACTTATACAAAATTTTATTAAAATAAAACCATTTAAACTGGGTGTTCGGATTTATATGTCACTTATATATATATATATATACAACGAGCGACTGGGCCGGTATTCTCGTTCTTCAAAACACAAAGCTAATATGACGTCGTTTGCACTTGTTTTCGAAGTGCTTGTAAAAATATGATATTTTCGTTGGTCTCACGCTTAGCGTTTTTGAAAATCGCTTGTCGACTATTAAGTGGTTGGTGTTTTGCTTATCGGTGTCTAGGTTTTTATTTATATCTAGGGATGTTATTGATACAATATTGTGGTAGCTTTTGAATAAATTCCCTGCATACGAAGCGTTAATTTAGTCAGAAATACTGTAAACTTGGAGTGGTAAAGGTTCTAGGGTAGTTTGTAAAAGAAATTATAAAAGTATACCGTCTAACAAAGTGGTCGAGCAAATGTAAAGTAGTAGTAATGGACTAGTTGCACTTGCAAGTCTGACAAAAAATAAATTATAATAGTAATGAAATACTGATGCTTTTGTCATCAAATAATTGATTCTCTAACAACCTACTATAATGCCAATAAATAAAGCGAACTATCCTCCACTTAATGTAATATACAACAACAACAACCACAACAGTAACAACACATTTTTATTTCCAAATAACAATGCAAAATATACTAAGTGACATATAAATCCGAACACCCAGTTTAAATGGTTTTATTTTAATAAAATTTTGTATAAGTACTTAATGAAGCATAATAAGTAAATGATAAAAATTTCAAAATGATTGCACTGCTTTAAAGCCCTTTGACCTTTAATAATGTGTGGATGCACCCTGATGTGCTACGCATTCTCCAACGCGCCTAGGCATGCTTCTGATCAGGTGGTCAATGTCCTCCTGTGGTATCTCATTCCAGACAACCACCAACTCGTCTCGAAGTGCTTCTAGAGTCTGAGGAGGACATTGCAAATTGAGCAATCTCCTACCCATTATATCCCACACGTGCTCAATTGGGGATAAGTCGGGAGATCTTGGTGGCCATGGTAACAATGTGACATCATTATGTTGAAAGAAGTCTATTGTGACTCTTGCAACATGTGGTCGGGCATTATCTTGTTGGAAAGTTGGATCTGCCAGGGTGTCAAGATAGGGTAAAAGATGGGGTTCTAGAACTTCGTGGATATAACGCTGCGCGTTCATGTTACCTCTGATGAAGATTTAAGGTGTCCTGGAACCATAAGCTATAGCACCCCAAACCATAACTCCAACAGTCTGATGAACATGTCTTTCAACAAAAAACTGTGGATTCCTCCTTTCATCATGTCGCCTTCTAACCCTGGCACGACCATCGTGCATGCCTAAACAAAATCTAGACTCGTCACTAAAGACAATACTGTTCCATTCCTGATCCCAGAGTGACCGTTGTCTGCACCACTCAAGGCGATTACGTCGGTGTTCTCGAGTTAAAGGGAGGACCCAGTGTGGCCGGTATGAAAACAAGCCAAAACTTCTCATTCTTCGGTAAACACTTCGCATGCCAATAGGTCTTCCGTGTTCTGCAAACCATTCATTTGCAATGGACCTGGTAGTGGAGAAACGGTCCCTTAAGGCCAATAATCTTAGGCGGCGATCTTCACGGTCTGTTGTTCTACGGCGGCGTCCAGTGCCCCTTGCTCTTTGCGTACGGCCTTCTCGAAGCCATGCCTGACAACACCTAACCACAGTGTCTACACTTCTTTGCACTCTAACTGCAATTGCCCGAAAAGATAGTCCACTATACGGCCCCTATCAAACTCACTAAGTTGACGAAATCGTACAGGTCTCCGTACTCTAGGCATCGTAACCGATCGTAAAGGATGTCAAGAACCAAAATCCGCCAACGTTGATTCTTTACTGCGGCTGAAATATTCATTTTTAGAGCGTTAGTGGATTAAAAAAAAAGCAGTATAAAAACCGGAATATCCAACTGATAAGGCTGAAAATTTTTTCACTTGTTATTTACAGTAAGATAAATACATTCACCAACTTTTATTAAAATAAAACCATTTAAACTGGGTGTTCGGATTTATATGTCACTTAGTATACATTTATGAGCACCCGCAATGTTGGGTGAAATAACGTCATAATAAAAAATTTTGAAAGGTTGACTGTTGCGCGATTGATGCTGCGCTGTGGGTTTGAAACTTGATTTTAATTAAGAAGTTACATAAACTATTATTTAGAATTCGGATTTCACTAACAATACTCTAATACCCAAAACAAAAATCATCTCGCCAACAAACAATTGCTTTTTGGAACCACCATTCGCCATGGGTCTAGGGGGCCTCTTAACCCCTTTAACCCCCCCCCCCCCTCCATTGGCTACGCGCATGGTAATAAGTCAATTGACCGCGTCGACGCTGCGAATGAGCTAGTTGGATTACTTTCTGCTGGAAGCCGACAAAGATAAATATTATGATAACTATCCAGAGATCACTGAGGCCTTGAAACGTGAAATTCAGAATTTCAGGTCGAAATAAACGGAAAAGGTACTTGAAAATTAGGGTACTATAATTTGGTACTCAAAAGCTTGCCTGGACGGTTTTTGGGAAGTTTTGAAATGTTGATATCCCCAAAGATTTTGTTCCACCAAAAAAGTGGCACCCAAGAAAAGTATTCCACAACATCATTCAAATTATTTCTGCGGTAAAAATGGACAGAGTATAAATGAGATTAAATCAATTTCCTACTATTCATGTATTCAGCATTTTGTTGAAAGATGAAAGCTTATGAAGCATGAGTAATACAAAGGCTTACTCTGATCCTTATTTGTTCAATAATAATTTTAGAATATTTCGAAAATGCCGTTTTTGATAATATGAAGCATTCTTGACGCAAAACCGGGTGCAGGGTCTGCTTGCAGCACTACACGCTGATCTAAATAGTATTTTTAATGTTGAACACTCAGGTTATTTATTAATTTGTACAGATATTGACTGTATGAAAATGCAATACTGTTTGTAAGCACCTTACATTTTTTACTCCAATGGACAATACTTGCAATTTCTAGTTTTTAAGCTTTATACAAGACACGTACATATAAATTTACATATAAAAAGTATCTGTGCATATTGTACAATTCGTTCTTTTATGATGCCATCCTGTTATTTGTTGTCAAAGGGAATTATTTCAGGTACTCTCAATCTATTTATACATACTATCTATCAGATATATTATTTTCTGTCACTAGTTTTTTGCCTGGACTTTGTGGTGCTGATGAGGAACCACTAGGGACTTTGTATCATCAAGATGTGATCATAATTAAAATTGTTTCCAATCACTCTAACTGGAGAAAGTGGCATTACCAAACCATCAATAGGGTAAAAGCGTTGAGGGTCTTTTACCTTTTAGTCTTAGATGCTATATAACCTATTTCTTTTCGTACAAAGACTCCAGGAACCAAAGAAACGCGAAACTGTTTTTCTGCATAATTACCTCATAAAATAAAAGTTTAGAGCAGCTACTCTATATTATCTGTGTCATGGCAACAGTAAACAAAAAGATCAATAAAAGTCTCAGAAGTAGTGAAATAATAGATGAGTCACCTTGTCTACTCATGTCATTTGTTATTTTACTTACCCTACTGATCAGGTGTTCGTTACAATGCCTATAATTACATGTAATAACCTAAGTTGATGGTAGATAATGTACGTGTACCTGTTACTCGAAAACGTCGTAATATACAAATGTATAGGTAAAGTATGGATGGGATGAAGTTCTGGAAACCGCATAAATATTAATGAAGGCAGCAGGGGATCGATGAAAAGATTTTATGATACAATCTACATATTCTTTATTCCTATCTGCTAGCGGATTGACAGGTAATATTTATAACTTATCATCGCCTCAATATTTGCGTGCCATCTATATAGGGTTTAAAAAGCATTTGTAATATTTCTCAGCCGTAAAATTCGCCCAAAAACAACACATGTGTATATAAGCATCAGCTAGGGCTGGAATCAGTTAAATTACCGACGCTGGATGGAAGCTAGAAAGACCCCGGACATTTGGGTGAAACTGATATTGCCCACCCCAAACTTTTTTATAATGAAAATAAAATCATCGTTATTTTCAAATCTTTTTAATAATCAGAGTACGACAGTGGCGAAGAAATTGGGTAATGTTTACCTCCAACTGACTATTTGAGGTTAAGACGTTATAAACAACCAAAATCTAAAAAAAAAATACTTAGTAAATGCACGAATGTCCTTAGAGTTTGACATTCAGAATAGTCTAGCTAAGTAATGTTATCTCACAACAAACTGATAGTATTCAGAGTATTGCCACTTTTCTTGTGTCACCCGATATCGCCAGGAAGAGGAGGAAATCATGTGAGTATTATTCAGTCAGATATTGAATCGGTCACTTCAAAAACTACCCTTCATATTTTTGCATCACTGACCAGTTTTTATTGTCTTCTGAAAATTCAAATGGTGTATCTTATGAAGTTTTTGAAATTGTTTAATAGAAAGCTTTGATTAGATCTTAGAACCTTGCATCCTGTTGAGAAAGCTTTAACGAATATTTATGATAAAGGTTCTTTAATATATCTGTAAGATATCGACAGAATGGGACCTGTTTGCTTTTTGTCTCTGTGATCAACCGTATATTACGTTGCATTATGTTTAACAATGAACAGTACACACTCTATAATAGGCTACTTGGTTCATATATAATTTCATAGAGTAAATGAGTATTTATTACTGTATTTGCCTTAGGAAAACGAAACATACCGATTTCAATATTTAAATGCGCAAGTTGGATATTTAGGTTTAATTTGAAAAACTATATTTTTCATCTTTAAACGCTGAAAATACTGACGACCATGATGTGACGTCATACAAAATGTAAACAAAGAAATGTCATCCATATGTCAGTCGTGGACTAAAGTAGTATTGTATAAATATTTCCTAGAAACCCTTAACAATTTTATTATTTTCATTATAAGCAGAAACCACAAATTTGCCGAAAATTGACGCATTTTCGTTCTACTCAACTGAGTAATTTCAAGACGTCTATGTGAGTACAGTGCATCTGATATAATGACAGTCATAAAAAGAAACAATAAGTAAATACACTTACATAATCTTTATTTTCATTGGGCATTCAAAACTAAGCTCATGCGTGCTTTTGAATAATTTTATCTATTGTATTTCTTCTTATACATCTACAAGAGAATCGTACGGTGATGATGCCGTATGTTACGTCCAACTTAAACGAGAAGATAAAATCTGCACAATAAAATGTACAATATGTATCTTCCGAACATAAGGCAGGCTCCAAGCAATACACAGTGTTGCGTATATTTATTTCCCTAGGCACTCTAATACACAGCTTTCCTGGGTTCTTTATGTTCTCGGAAGACGCAATAACGATAATTACTGTATTTTTCGTGGAAACTAATAGAAGTCATGTTTATATGTTTACATGTCTGAGAGGTTATTTTGCAGTTTACAAATCGTATGACGTCACAGCACATTAATATGGGCCAAACATGGCGAACAGCGTTTTCGCCCATCCAAGGAAAATATATTTTTAGTCTTACATTCCTCTAGGCCAGAAAAAGATATAGTATTAATTTTTTGGTTGAATAGAACAAATATTAACTATTTAAGACTTACTTGAGAAAAGTGCCACCTACCCTATTAACTGCCCTATTTGATAATAATCGATCTTTCAATTAAACTTCTCTCGAATGCATTCAACTAATCGTGGCTATCAAATGCTGGAAATGGTGGAAATGTTCATATTTGATTATTCCGTCTATTCCTTGTATTCGTGATGTACGATACACATTACTGTTTGAATTTTAATAAGACATAACTTGTGTGGGATAGAGCGTTAGTAATCCAAATTGTTTTATTGATCATTACTCATGTCTATAAACAGACGAATAATTGTACAAAACTCGTAAAACCAGAGGCGGGGAAGCTCTAAACAGTTCCTTCCGTGGCTTAGATGGGTTCTATAACGGTTCCGTGTATCAACTTCAAAGTGTGCCACATCAGTGTCTTGAAAAATGTTCAATGGCGAGTAGACGTTCAAAGTCGTCAGCATCTAGTATAGACAGATAGAACTATCGTATTTGTGACTATACTATAACTATCTAAAACTGTAATGACTCATCGATGTTCACGTGAACATCACTTAACTACCAGTAGTCGGCTGTTCATAGGCGGGGTATGAATGTTTAACATGGGTGAACTAGATTTGTCACATGCTTAATAAAGAGTGGTTTGAAACATATTGTAAGTCAAAAATTTGGGAGTTACCTTTATTCATCGTCGCTTCCACTTACATCTGACAGTAATAAACTGTCGCTATCGCTTTCCTCGTTGAAATTGACAATCCTGGCTTTATGATGGTGTCGATGTGGTGGTCAAACTGTCACATTTTTGTTTCTTCCTTCACAACATGACCGATAGCATTCTGCCAAGCTTCGGGCGTTACTAGCTGTATGGAAGTTTCAAGTAAAACCTTAATCTGGTAATTTGAAGGTTGTGTTATGGCGCGCAATATAACCCTTCACTTGAGCCCAGATGAGCTCTATTGGGTTCAGTACACAGTGGTAGGGCGGTAACCGCAGCACAGTGACACCACATTGACGGGCCATCTCCTCAGTCATGTAACTAATGGTCGCAGGTTTGTGCTGTTTAATTTTTTCATACAATTCCGCTTTCACACATGAATCGTCAAACGAGATTCCTTTTTCGCGCAACCATTGCTGCATGTCACTTTTTCGAGATCCCATAATCGGTACACGTTCGGCTCGACGACTATGGTAGGAAGCATTGTCCATGACGATCACAGAGTTGGGCTCAACTCGCTGAAGCACCCCTTGAAACCAGCTCTCGAAGCAGCTGGCATTCATTTCGTCATGGTAATCACCTCCTTTCTTAGAGACGAAAATCAAGTCACACTCTTCTAAAAAGCCACTATCGCTACCAATATGAGTTACGATCAATCTTTGACATTTCACTACGGTCCACGAAGACCTGTTGACAAACCTTCAATGCTTGCTTGTCGGTTACTCACTACGTTTTTGTCTATCCAGGTTTTTTTAACTGTGTGACCTGCATTTACCCATGTCTCGTCCAAATAATAGATTTTTCTGCTTTGTCGCCTATATTCAATCATTTCGCGTAGGTATTTTCGATGCCAGGCGACTATTTCAGGTCTCTCTATCAATACTGACTTCCGATTACGCGTTTCGTAACGAAAATTAATTTCTTGCAGGGATTTCCTCATTACCTCGACGCTCATTTGGGGTATAATTTCATTTTCCTTGATCGCTGCATGTACAACCTTGAGGGTTGGTATCTTATTCCTAAAGAAGAATGAATGTACGGTTCGCCTTAACGCCATTTTGCTATCGTCATCCAATTTAACGGCCTTTCGTCCCTTCAAATTAAACTTTGGATCAGTAGTAGCTCCAGTTTTCTTCTTTTCATGCACCACCCTGCGAATGGTCCACTCTGGAACGCCTGTCATACTTTCACAACGCACGAGTGCATCTCCTTGCGACATAGTTCTGTTCAGATAATTGAACACGTTGAGCACGATTTCGCGTCCCTCTTCAGTGCTTTACGAAGCCGTCTACTTGTTCCCTGGCTTTCAGTACTTCCACTCGTGCCATTTGTACTCTCCATGATTAAGTATAACCAAAACAGTACCAAAGAAACCACAACAATAACAATCACACAACAATTCTTATAAAAACACACAATATGCGATCGCTCAACGAAACACGTTCCAATGCGTTGCCGACGCCTATGAGTCTGCCGGTCGAGGCGCGTCTTTGATTTCATTGGTTCTACCGGCGGAGAACAATCAGCCATTATTTCCATCTCTGTCTGTGCTGTTGACCACCGCAAAGCCACAGAAACGACATATGTCGTACGCTATACGGCTGTACTGGAAGGAAGCCGGGATCGAGCTCTGATCACGTGTTGATCACGCGTATGAGTCATTACAGTTTTAAATAGTTGTAGTATAGTATAGGCAGATAGAACTATCGTATTGGTGACTACCTTTATTGTCGTAAGGTACGCGTCTACGAGTAAATGTCTGTATCGAGCTGTTTGCATTGAACACTTTTAAACTCTTTGTATGTAATTAAATAAAGGTGCGTCCACTGAATCAAATTGTGCAGACGACACGCAACGTATCATCGACATTCCGAATAGGATTTCTCGAAGGGTCAACTTTTGTGAAACGTACCGATGACATACGGATTGCCGACCATTGGACGTACACTATAGACATTATAGCTATTGGTGTCACTTTGAAAAGATGTCGCTGTAGCATGTAGTATATGAGGAAAGTAGGTGTGGTTATTACGTAGTATTACCCGGATCAGAGGCTTCTCGTTGATAGAACTACTTTCACTGATACAGATGCTAAAGGTGCAACATTCACAGCAGCTCCAACTCCTAATTTTGACCCCACTTCAAGAATTTCTTAATACTTCTAAAACATCGAAAAACGAAGACCGTTTTGTCCTTAGCTCCGACGCCACTGGATCTGTATTCAAAAACTACAACGCTCTTCATCCACGACATAGAAGAAATCTTATGTCAAAATTTCATTAAGAGAGGGTATTACGTATCTTGAAAAGTGAGATTATGTCGTCTTTTTGACATTATAAAGCTTTTTTGACATTATATAGGTTTTTCTACAACATGTCAACCTAGCACTAGCTATTGTTTACTTGATGTATACTCGGTCTGTAGCTGTACGTGTTGCATAAACGGCATTATGCTTCAGCTATCAATTTTGTTCTCTGACATCATTCCGCTTCAGAGATGGCATTATTGGAGATCTAAGCTATAAGTTTTAAAATATAGCTGGAAGCCACATATAGGAATATTGATGAAACGATGAAGGGTTATTGCATTTTACATTATTTTTTATTTCCAGTCGTTTAGATTTTGTTGAAATTTATTCTGCGATGTCAATTAGAAAATACAAATCAGCGCCTAGATGTGAAGCACTGCGAAAATGCTTTATGTGTGATGCGTTATTCCTAATTTTTCTGTGATGTGATTTCCCGTAATGCTTCTCAGAGTTTTTGAAAACGCAAAAAACCGTGGAAAATCGTAACATATAACTTTCAACATAACCTCTCTTCAGAAAGGACAACACAAAGAACCCGTCTGGTACATCTGATCGATAATATGCTTCATATAGCATATCCAGTGATAATTCTTCACATAGCACCGATTTTATACACATTTAGACCAATATCTACACACAATCATCACTCCTCAATCATCCATGACATCTTCTCAAAGATATACTCTACAGACTCTCTCGGTATTCTGCTACCAACAAAGCATGCTGGTGAACTAACTTGCAGCATGGACATTGAGCGTGTCGTTGAGTCATTCCTCCATAGATGACGCTCACAGCGCTCACAGCGAGCAAACGCGAAATGAATTATTTGCAACTAGGAACTATCTAGTCAGCAAGTTGACACATTGTTTTTTTCAACGGTTTATAGGTCAAACAGGACAGACACATAAACAGACAGACAAATCGCAAAAATGCGTGAATGATTGTTTATGATGTGGATGTCATGTAACTCACAATATCTCACTTTCGATTTTTTTCTTGATTACAATATCTACCTCGCCAATTTCGGTAAAATATTAAACTGACTCTGACAAGAAAGTCAATATAACTCACCCTCTGACCCTCTAAGTCGCACATGTGTGTATGTGTATGTGTATGTAAACAAGACGACACAAAGCTTCATCTGTTAGCAGGATCGAACACTGCGACAGGAAAAACAGCAAACTGTCTATTGGGATTGTATCCCAGTTCGCATTTAACTGTCAGATCACCACTGTGACCGCTAGATGCCGCCTATTCTGGTGGTAAAGCAAATAAAGTCTACTCGTCATTGAAGAAACTAGTAATTTAGCTTTCGTCCGTTCGATCACAGACAGCCAGCCACGGACAGCTGTTTCGTGATATTTGGCAACTCATCAGCATAGTATGTGCTGTCTTATTTCGATAGACCTTATATCCTGGTCCTGGATAGACGGTAGTAGATAGATGGTAGCTGTTCACCTTTCGTGCATTGTCCTACCTGAGACTAAACCTAGTCTATGCTGAGGAGTTTCCAAATAGCACGAGCTGTCCATGGTTGGTCGTCTGTGGTCGGTCGAACGAAAGCTACTTTTCTAGTTTATGTGTGTATGTATTTGCTTAAAAGCTCGCGAGAAGGCTATTTTTAACCAAGTTCTAATGACTGTTGACAAACAAACCGCTGCGATTGGACCACTTTATGGGTAAAATTAGGTTGTGATCAGGTGACAGGAAGGATAAGGTGCGTTGTTCCTGTTGAAATGAATGAATCAATATTTTATTTTTAGATGTTAGGTGTTGGCGTTCTACCTATGCACGTAATGGTTGATTTTTTCGTGGCGGTGATTACCGATTATGATTGCCCCGTTCAGTATTTATGGTTGAAACGTCATTATATTGAAGCATGAAATATCAAGTTTGTGTACTTTAACCTTTGCCGCGTAAATGCATCCAAACCTGCAATTAGTTCTAAAACAAAAGCTAATCGTTGTGAGTTTATCTCAGCGCCAAATTCGTATCAGGAATCAAAGTACTCAAATTCCTTAAAGCGAATGTCACACGTTCCGTCGGTATTTATCATGGAATGTGATTATTGACCGTGTATTCAGGATGTGAGTAATTATTTTCTAATGTATAAGGTTACGTAGAAATCCACCGACACTGATAAGGTAATCACTGATGGCACGGACCATAGTAAATACTGATCAAGTGACATTCGACTAAGGAAAGTTTTCTTCTAGATCACAATTACACAAAGATACTGTAACGAAAACACCGTTTTACTGTTCAAAGTTTAATTTATTAATGCCACACTAATTTATAACTATGTCGACTAGTCTATTATCCTATCTTAATTCCGCGTACCGCTCATCTGAGTCTCGACTATGACTAACTGCTTCCGCCATCTGGTGGGGTATTTATCCCCATATCGACGCGTCGAGAATGTTCAAGTGTTTTCAGGTCAGGTCATGAACTTCCATGGAAGTAGTCTAGATGTCCAGACGGATCTTTATTATTCCTGAATCTCGGCCTAACCCTTTTTAGAGAGCGCCGCAAACCGTTGGGTAAATTGTTGAATAAGCATTGACTCTGCAAGGCGACTCCTCGCCGTTCAAGGTCCCAGCTATACAAGGGTATTACAATACAAATGAACTAAACTCTATAAATGACAAGTAAAATCTCTCTTGAATTGTTTTCCTTCGATGCGCCATTTTTGAGTAAAAAAATAAAAACCGTCCTATTGTCCGTGAAAATTAATGTAATAATTGAAGAATGTAATTTAGCAATAAATATCTAGTTGCTCTGGAATATGTCACTGGCTTTTGACATCTGACAAGTCTCTGTTACTCAAATCTGTTCGCTGTGACATCTTTGTCATTATTTAGTTTTTACAATCTTGTTGATAATGGTGAATTATTCAAATGCAGAAATGGCGGAAATGCATTACGTATATGGACTTGCCGAGGGTAATGGTAAGCAAGCCAGGCGGATTTATCATCAGAGATATCCCGATCGTGCTTTGCCAGATAGTCGAACCTTTTCTAATATTCATCGTCGTCTTGTTGAAACTGGTTCTGTCTGAAAATGAACATCTGAAGGTAGACCTCTAGGTGTGAGAACAGCTGAAATTGAGGAAGCAGTGCTGCACGAAGTCGAAGAACATCCTGAAATGAGTCCGAGGAAGATCGCTAGACACTTAAATATTTGCCATCAAATTGTTTGGAGAATTTTAGAGTACAGGCATTACTTCCCATCGGTTTTCCAAGGCGTGTGACCTTTTGTCAGTGGTATCATCAAAAGATTACCAAAAATCCGCAATTTGAATCAATGATTCTGTTCACGGACGAAGCTAATTTTTTTCGAAACGCCATTCAGAATTTCCACAATAATCATTTGTGGGCAGAAGAAAATCGCTATGCCGTAACCGAAACCCATTTCCAGCACCAATGTCCAGTTAACGTATGGGCAGGAATTATTGGCACCCACCTTATTGGCCCATTCTTCTTGCCGGGACGACTTGACGGACAGACTTACCTCAATTTTCTTCAACAACAGTTGCCTTTGCTGCTTGATGATGTTCCGTTAATAATAAGAAACAATATATATGGTACATGCATGATGTTGCATCAGCGCATTTCAGTGTAGCGGTTCGTAATTATTTACAAACTGTTTATCCAAATCGTTGGATTGGCCGCGGTGGGCCCCAAGAATGGCCACCAAGGTCCCCAGACCTCAACAGTTTAGATTACTTTTTGTGGGGCTATCTTAAGACACTAGTGGACACAAGTCCCATTAACACTGTAGAGGAATTAAGAGAAAGAATAGTTGCAGCTTGTGATAGAATAAAAAATTCCAGGGATATTTCAACGAGTGCGCAATTCCATGAAAACGATGGCGGTAGCATGCATACTAAGTGAAGGGGGCCATTTTCAACAATTTTTGTAATCATTTCGTTGGTTTTAATGTTATGTTTATGTTGTCAGTTGTTGTTGTTCATTACCGCTAATGTGTTTAATTTTTACAATTAAATTAATAATAATTTTGCAAGTTAGACAATTATTTTTTATTTTTTTACTCAAAAATGGCGCATCTAAGAAAAACAATTCAAGAGAGATCATTTGTTTAAAAATGAATGAGAAATTCAAAAATAATTTTGATTTGGCAAAACACTATTGGCGTACCACCTTTTTCTTAAAAAATATTGAAGTCAATACCCGTACGCACGCCACTGTTAAAGCTAAAAATTATTTGTGCATTGAAAAATATGCAACTTTCACTACGTACTATCAGTGAAATATCTGAAGCGGTTCTGAAAATATTAACTAATTTCCATTTTTTTCCTAAAACTTCAACACCCCCAGTTTTTGTAAGGAAACATTTTTGGACCATAGTTTATAGAGCAAACTAACATTAATTTTTCATGTAGATTGGCACCCTTAAATATTCGCATATCATTAAGGAACACCCTGTATAATGCACAGATTCGATGTGTAACTTGATCCCCTATCTTTGATGTGCCAAATCTCTCACATCAGCCACCATTTAGACCTGCAGGACCATTACTCAATGCCTTCTCGCCAGGTAATGTTGAGATGGTCCTGCCATTGCAGAGCGCACAAAAAGCACAGATCTTATGGTAAGTTAAAACTGGCGCTGACAAAATACTTGAAAAACGCAACTACAAGTTAACTTCCTTGTTATAGTTAACTAACCAGAAGAAAGTTAACTTGACTTGGCTACGTACTGATAAAGCAGCCCGTGTACCGCCAATATAAACTGAGCTGTTTGAGACGTCTGCTATTTCCGTTGCTAAATAGACACCGGATACTGCATCTAGGCACACCGTCTACCTAGAAAAGGGGTTTTTATCCAGATCATACGGTGATTCCATGGGTAGATATGTCGACGATCTTACTGTTTCGACTAGGGGTTAAATGGAGACTAATGACACAGACCATAAAGCAACAAAGTATGGTATATTAAACTATTTTATACATTACCTCAATTAGTGTTAAATTATTTATTTGAAAATAGGTTCTAAGTCAATAAAGCCGTTTCAAAAAGCTCCGCAGTGTTCCCGGATTATTACAATCTGGCACCCATTCTCCATCACTTGCCAGGCAAGAATCTCCGCAAGCTTTTCCTTTGAAGTATGGACCATACATCTGTTTGCACTGCACGCAGTTCCTGAAATTGATCAACCGTTAATTGCCTTAATAATGCATGGACGTAGTAGCTAAGATGGTGGACAAGAATGCGCCTATTTGGAAACACTACGCACCTCTTAATAAAATTACAAGAAACACCATTTCTCTAACAGCTTAACACATAAAATTGATATCATTCAACTGAAAATACAAGGTGCGGCAGAGAGGACGAACTCTGGACGAATTGAAGGGCGAAATTCGCGTGGAAGTCGCCCAAGTTGAGAGAGCGATGTTGGAGAGAGTCTACGCGAACTTCCAAGAACGCCTCCAGCACTGCATCAACGATTTCGACCACCAAATGCCTGATGTGATTTTCCACACTTGACTGTCTCAAATGCTATTTCCTTGTGAACCGGATTCCATCAATAAATTTGTTTTCGAGTAAAAATTAACTATTTTCTGATTTTTTTAAAACCGTCCATCACCTCTGCCGCACCCTGTATTTGTGTTGAGATGAATTACTATGAACTGGAGAGCTGCAACTTGACATCAAAAGTGCCGCAGGTTGCCGATGCCTGGTCTAGTTGAAAAAGTCATTTGCACTGTTTTTTCTGTATTCATCACCAACTTATTTGCGGTAAACCACTCCTTAGCCTTACGCGCACCACCTGTAGATTTCCGTAGGATTTCGAAAAAGTATCTGCAGCAGAAGAAACAGTTGTCATCCGCAAAGAGCGTGTATCTATAATTTGCGTCCATAGTGTGCAAATAATCTACTAGAAATGCAATTTGTCTATATTCCATCATCCTGGATCTAGGATATGGTGTAGAGAAACACCATGTATCTTATACTGAAAAAAATAAGCAACCGCTGCTATAAACATTTGCAAACGTAGAAATATCAAAAACGTCACCGATCCCGCTGGAAATCCGTCAGCAGAAATATATGACCTCCGAATTGAGCCCAGAGGCACCTGTTTACATTCCTCCTCCATTGAGAAATGCTGCAACCCCTAAATCCAGTCCTTCAAGTACTAAGAGTACCCCTCGCAGTTCGCCGAACACAAGTGGGTCAATACCTAGTCCACTAGTCAAAGAACCACAGTGTTCCAGATATTCAAGAAGGTAATAATCTTTGTGGTAGTTTCAATAAGGCAGTTGTAGTGTTTTTTCTTCCAGCGTGGTGTTTAATACACATATGTCTATTCTACATATAAGCTTTGCTGAATCAAATAATACTCTTACCTTCAAGGGTTATAGTAACAAATTTCATATTTAGGATGTAGATAAATAATTTTTGGCTAGAGTACTGAACAAACCTGACTTCTTAAACTAAGAATTGAATTTTGCCACATAAAATAGCTATACTAGGTTTTAAATTCGAACAGTAGGAAGATGAACAAAAGTGTCAAACTGACAATATACTTCAACGGTCCCGCCAATTTTTTAGCTAAGGATTCAAACACCAGATGTAGTAATTTTATAAAATTGAGGTGTTTTCAAAATTTATTGTTTCATCGAAATATCAGTATTTGGCCTTCAAAAAGTATATTTTCAGTAACATGAAATAGAGTTGGCAAAACGCGCCAGTTTTTGGAAGGTGGTCCCTATTTTTTCTTCTATTCGTCATTGTCTGTCAGAGCGATCCACAGGACCTTTGTATTGTAGTTAGTTGCATACCAACGGTGGAGTCGGGGCCTTTTTAAATTCTGTCAAGGGTCACCCTGCCATCTGAGTCGAACTGCAAAGGGATCATGTCCTTCTGAGCTGGGGTAATCTGATCATCCCTAAGTATCTCTTCAACCGAAAGTTTAATGTGGAGTATCCAACTAGGGCGGAGTGGGTCTCCGGAAGCCGGACGGCTCGGGGTCTTTGGGTCTAGGAATAGGCGATTTCTACCTCGTGGTGGATACACCACTATTTTCCAGGCAAAAATCTTTGCGATATCAGCTTGTGTATCCCACATTTAGGTGGGGAAGGGCCTAGTAGAAGAATAACAATCTTCTCCGACAGCGAGGCTGCAATGTAAGATTACTTTGAGCCTTGTACGTCGATGCATGGAGGCTCTGGATAGTCTAGCAGCGATTCATCCGGTATCGTTAGTGTGGGTAGCGGAAGCAGGATCAGCCAGCAAGCTCGTTGATCCTGAGCCAGCCTTAGAAGCTGGGACAAAAATGGAGAAATGGGCTGCAAGGCAACACTCTCAGAAATGGAGAAGCATCTCTAGTCACCTCCACAACACGCGAGAACTCATCGTAGGGCCATCGCTAAGGATAGGCGCTTTTGTTTATCTTTAGATAGAGCCAACCCTAAGGTTGCTGGTGGGACTATCGTCTGGTCATAACACGTTGAGGCGCCACCTGCACGTGACGGGGATGGCTGAGGATCCCTTATGTGATCGCTGCAGGGCTTGGTAAGAGACCTCGGTGCATGTTCTGGGTTGCTGTGAGGCTCTGAACAACTACAGGCAGTCTTTACTAGGGTGCACCACTTTGGACCCCCAGAACGTTAACGAGCTGGGACTCGCGGCTATACTAGAAGGCCGGAGCTTGAGGTTTGGGGCATTTATAGGTGCATAAGGGCCCGTCTAAGTGGCATATGCGCCAGCTCCTCATGGTGGCCGATATGCCTCCAATTTCATAATCCGTTCATTCACAGTATTGTAGGTTAGTGGGTGTGTAAGGTCTGGTAGCCCAGATACTGACGTTGACAGAGTCAACTGCAAGTTATTACGTTCTGTATGTATCCGGAATTGAAATCAAATCCCATCCCTTCGATGGGACATACTGAGTATTTAAATATACGAATTTCAAAAATATTTTCTTCTTTGACATACGAGCGAAAAAAATGAGGTAGATAAAATTCTCCGAAAAGCTAATAGTCTATTTGTGTTTGGCATAAATTCAGCTAGACTTTACGGCCCTATTCATACAATCAAATTCTTGTCTGTTTTGGTGGGTATAAGCAGTTACAAGCGGCTTCAGTCACAATCTCTCTATCATATGTATACTAAGTGACATATAAATTTTGTATAAGTACTTAATGAAGCATAATAAGTAAATGATAAAAATTTCAAAATGATTGCACTGCTTTAAAGCCCTTTGACCTTTAATAATGTGTGGATGCACCCTGATGTGCTACACATTCTCCAACACGCCTAGGCATACTTCTGATCAGGTGGTCAATGTCCTCCTGCGGTATCTCATTCCAGGCAACCACTAACTCCTCTCGAAGTGCTTCTAGAGTCTGAGGAGGACGTTGCAAATTGAGCAATCTCCTACCCATCATATCCCACACGTGCTCAATTGGGGATAAGTCGGGAGATCTTGGTGGCCATGGTAACAATGTGAAATCATTATGTTGAAAGAAGTCTATTGTGACTCTTACAACATGTGGTCGGGCATTATCTTGTTGGAAAGTTGGATCTGCCAGGGTGTCAAGATAGGGTAAAAGATGGGGTTCTAGAACTTCGTGGATATAACGATGCGCGTTCATGTTACCTGTGATGAAGATTAAAGGTGACCTGGAACCATAAGCTATAGCACCCCAAACCATAACTCCAACAGTGTGATGAACATGTCTTTCAACAAAAAACTGTGGATTCCTCCTTTCACCACGTCGCCTTCTAACCCTGGCACGACCACCGTGCATGCCTAAACAAAATCGAGACTCGTCACTAAATACAATACTGTTCCATTCCTGATCCCAGAGTGACCGTTGTCTGCACCACTCAAGGCGATTACGTCGGTGTTCTCGAGTTAAAGGGAGGACCCAGTGTGGCCGATATTAAAACAAGCCAAAACTTCTCATTCGTCGGTAAACACTTCGCATGCCAATAGGTCTTCCGTGTTCTGCAAACCATTCATTTGCAATGGACCTGGTAGTGGAGAAACGGTCCCTTAAGGCCAATAATCTTAGGCGGCGATCTTCACGGTCTGTTGTTCTACGGCGGCGTCCAGTGCCCCTTGCTCTTTGCGTACGGCCTTCTCGAAGCCATGCCTGACCACACCTAACCACAGTGTCTACACTTCTTTGCACTCTAACTGCAACTGCTCGAAAAGAAAGTCCAGCTTCCCGAAGTCCCACTATACGGCCCCTATCAAACTCGCTAAGTTGACGAAATCGTATAGGTCTCCGTACTCTAGGCATCGTAACCGATCGTAAAGGATGTCAAGAACCAAAATCCGCCAACGTTGATTCTTTACTGCGGCTGAAATATTCATTTTTAGAACGTTAGTAGTAAGATAAATACATTCACCAACTTTTATTAAAATAAAACCATTTAAACTGGGTGTTCAGATTTATATGTCACTTAGTATATTTTGTTCCAAAGGCAATGCATCATTGATAAATATAGTATAATCGCTACTTAACAGCTTACAACCCAAAATCGATATTGGCGACATGCAGTTGCAGCGATTAAGGCAATATATTTATACAAGGTATTGCTTTGATGGGTCGTACTGAACCAAATTTAAGTAGAATAGTTCTTATAAACATGTGTCCTGAAAGTATGGTTTTCAAGATACAAAGTATCAAAGTTAGAAAAAAGTTTTTTTAATTTTAATAATGCTGGAAAATTTGCTCCATTGACTTTAAAACACGTTTATTTCGAATTAATCAGGTAGTAATACAACTCTTGGCATGTCTTCGTATCCTAGTTCGTTTTCGACTAAAAAAAATAAAACTAACTTTGATATTCACGGCATGTGTGCTACCCAAGCTGTCGTGCAAGCTAAAATGATTTTTTAGGATCTTTTGAAAAATTGATAGCTTTATCCGATTCAACTTCTAAAATTGACAGATTGTTATGCCGTATTGCCACTGAAATGTCTTTATTTTCTATTATGACTGCAGTAGAAATAACTATGCCGCACCTAAATGTAGACCGAAGTATGAATTATTTTATAATTATGTCCCTGGTAATTTTGGCAGGAGCTTTGGCCTTAATTCGCCAACAAAAATAAAAGAAATTAATAAGACTAACTTGCATGTTGCCGAGGTCATTTTTAAAATAGCTCTCATTGGCATCCAACTATTTCCTCGTAGTCCACGACATTTTAAAAATATTTTTGTTATCACGAACGCGTCTGGGTTTATTATAGACATGCTTGTTAATAATTTAGATTAGCAGTGGTGATTCCATAAATATTGTCCATTTGGCGGTGTCTTTGTTCTAATAGCCAAGCTCGTTCTGAAATGCATTCATTTTAGCAATTACGAGTAGTACAACAAATTAATTCAAGATAAATAAGAATCGAAAAATGTCATGAAAATTATATGCAGTGTGTTAAAAAACGGTATTGAGAACACTAAAAAATGATTGTAACTCGTATGTCTGTCCTGTGAAGGATGGTTCTGTATATGGCTTTTCCTGAATAATTCATGAATTATGAATTCAACAAAATTTTCATAGCATTATAAGCAATTCATGGGAGAAAATGAATCCTTCTAATTGTCAGGGAAAGACTAAACTACAGTATTGCTATTTTTGCCTCTTCCCTATTACAGAAAAACGTGAATACTCAGAATATACTTTTTGGAGTAAAACACTATTTAGGACTGTCTGGCCGAATAAAACGACATATACAGGGTGTCCCAGAAGTGGACGTCAAATCGGAAACGGAGGATACGCCAAGTTATAATAGTTATCAGAAAAATATAAAAAAATCTAAGTCATATACTTTTCAAATTATAGGTTGAAAAATGTTGGAAAAATCGGAAAAATCTACAGATTTAAATTTTTTCTTAGATGGAGAGACGGATATTATCATTCTACGTAATGACAGCAAGACAGATAGTTACACCACTTTTCCTTTATTGACAGATTCAGCTGCTTCCGTTATTCTGTCCCATAGCTCAGTTAAATTTTCGATTGGCTTTGAGTACTCACTACTACTAACTTTTTTTCACCGCTCCCCAGTAAAAAAGTCGTTTTGATTCAAGTCAGGTGAACGGACTGGCCACGATATTGTACCAGACCTCCCTATCCATCTGCTTGGTTTTCCGCATCAAGATATTCTCTAACTGAACGGGCATAGTGCGCTGGGCAGCCGTCTCGTTGGTACCACATGTTTCTGTAAATGGTTAGTGGCATGTCTTCCAATAAATTTGGTAAATGATTT